TCCAATATAACTTTTAAAGGGCAATTTTGTTACAAAGACTTAATAATTCATTTTATTTATTGTTTTGGTTGTGTTTGGTCCAACAATGGTTTATTCAAGTGCATTTTTTGTCAACAAGTCCTTGCTGTATACCAGAATACATTAGACTATTCTTACGTTAACAAGTCTATTTTATTCAGGCCTATTTTGGTTGTCTTGCAGTTACTGTGTTAAATGTTCTTTAGAAAATTGAACACAGTAAAAAGAAAAGTTTATTGATCTTTGAAAAAGTGTGTTTGCATTTTTAATCCCTTGTCATATCAGTTGAAAATTGCCTCAAAATGTCAATATTGTTTGTTGCAATAATTTCTTGGTCAATTAATCGTCCAGCAAAATCTGTTATTGTTACACGCCTACTTGGAACCTTCTCCATACAGATGGATTAGTTTTATTTAAACCAGGACATCCCATTAAGATTCAGAAGCTTTACAGAGCTTTCTAACTTCTAAGAGTGACGTGTAGGCCTTGTATATGTCATTGAAGTGGTTTTTAGATTGATTCAGCGTTTTTTTTAACAAATTGCAGCATATTTCTGCCACGCTCCCACGTGACAACGAACTAAAGCCTGCTACAATGATGACGCGGCAGCTACACCTATGACACGTTTGATGCCCCCCTCCCCCGCGCCACTGCCTCCGCCCCGCCTCCACCCACTCACACAACATCCTGCATCTGAACCGTACAGGTCTGCTGTTCTGCGTTATTTATCTTTATTCTTCGCTTCAAACACGCTTTTTGGAACCATGTCCTCATGAAGAAAGTGCGTATTTGGCTCCGATGGCAAGTCGAAATTATTGGCATGCTGACAGAAGAAGCAAGGCGTGCTAAGTGGCTGAAGTTTATTTCTGGGAACACAGACAAAAAGGTAACCAAGGATATTTTTGTTTGCAAGCGACATTTCACTGAAGACTGCTTCGAGAACTACGGGTATTTTAAAACTGGACTTACAAAGAAGCAAAAGCTAACTTTGGAAAAGGATGCTGTTCCCATGATACCAGGGTCCAGTGATGACGATCCTAGAGCTCTAAGTTTACCGCGAGTATACCGCTGAAGATAAAAAAATAAATGCTGCAACTTGCTTTTGGTTAAGATTATCCGACATATAATTTCAACATGCATGTCATCTCCCTTGTTCTACCTGTTTTAGTTTGACAAATGTTATACGTAGTCCTACGATATTACATTGGTACTAACAACATACTTCATCATTATATTCTAGTAAGTTGTCTTCACTGCTTTTGCACAATAACAAAATGGCGATTACACCTTACACCTCAGTCATTATGACCACTGATGTATAGTGGTAGCCTGTACAGATTATGATAGCCTAATTTGATCTAACATTATTATAGGATTCAAGTTTGCCCAATTATGCCTTCTGCCTTCCCCTCCCTCCCTGAGATGGGGGGAGGAAGGGCGGCTCACTCAGAGCCTACATCACGTTTGGAGGGCGGAGCCTGTGCTTTCTCAGGACGGGCGGGGGGATGAGCAATAGCCGGACTTTCATAGTTCTTGGTCTGTGACCGCCGCCAAGAAATCAATAAGATTTCATAACAATTGTGTAATGGATGTTCCAAAACCCAGATTGTGCTTGTATATGTGCAGAAGATACAATGTGAAGAGAGTTATTTTGCATGAGATGGGCCCTTTCAGGAGATACTTGGCAAACATAGCAGTCAGCATGCCATTGCCATTCTGTGGAACCTTCCAGACAAAGTAAGAACATCTCCATGGAGACAAGCAGGTCAACAAGTTATGAGATATTATTTTGTTTGGTTGGTTTTTAGTGCAATACAAAATGCAGTACTTTATTTTTGTTTATCTGGCATCTTATGCAGTGTAACTTCAGTTGATTTTGCAAAATAGGTCATATACTAACTACGACATACTATACTATGAAAAATGTGCAGACTTACTGTCTGCTTTGTACATTTGTGGATGTCCTTTTCTTTGAACTGGATGTAACAAAAGTTCCACTTGTTCCACTGTTCTGACACTTGAGATTCTAATCATCATCATGACATTCTGCCTGTTCGCAATGTCTTTCAGTGAGAGTCATCCCAGACTGATTTGAATTCTACACAGTTATGAGAGTGGTACACATATCAACTTGGCTAGGACAGTTATCGAGCTCATTAAACGTTATCGTGCGATTAATTGATTTATTGATTATCATTACAGGCCTAGTTCAGATAAAATAATTTTGTAAAATATACCAAAAAATACTCTTGGAGATATATCGATATAGCAGCCCACATTAAACAATACGAAATATCGATATTTCAATATTTTTGCGCACCCCTATGTAGGACACATGTTGAAACTGTTGTGATATTTGTTTGTGCAGAGCGCAATCCTGACATATCAGCATCTGCACTGTTGATAAATAAAATCAATGCGATGTATTTATTGGCTCATTGACATAGAGATTTAATAACCTTGTGTAGCAAGATGGATTCTCACGATATTTCTAAGTTCACAAACTCACAAGAAACCATCCTGGACTGCGTTGACTGTATGGCTGATTGGGTGGGACCAATCACAGAGCAGCATTGAGGTTTGTGCAAAAGCCAAAAGCAAAGCGCCCAAATGAACCAAAAGAAACATGGCCAACAAAAGTTCTTTAGCCTATTTTAACATGAATATGGACAATTCAATTCAGAGTGCTACACATACAATGTTTCTTTCAGCCCGTTATAGTCAAGCCGGCAACCTTGACAAAAAGTGGCAACTGCCATGACCACTTTCATCCGAACGACGTGAATCCTCACAAAACTACGGTCATCACACGGAATCTCTGCGCCAGTACTTTGGTCAGTGCTTATATATTTGAATGTGATGTGCCAGGCTATTTACAGTGGCTGCTGGTCAATAGAGGCTGCAAGTGTGCCACGCTCCCTACCTTGACCTAGATTAATTTTTTTTTTTTATGTATTTATAATTTATAGTTGTTATTTTGTATTAGACTACATGTTTAATATTTTGTTTAACATTGAACGTGTATCTGCATAGATGTATTTTTATCATGTTACATGTGCTCATATCGCTTTATTTGAGTCATGTGTTTGGCCCTTGAGTTTGCCAAGACTTATTGGAGGTCTATGGGAGAGCCTGAAGTTTTGAGAAAATCTGAAGATCCGCTTCTGCCCATTACTTTACATTACAGCCCTGAAATACGCCTTGGGGGCACAGGGTCGGGGCGACCTGAAATCAAGTGATCGGTCTTTATAAACATGATCACAACGGACCGTGATTCAGTGTGCAGCTCTGTCTTCACTGGCGGCATTTTACTAGAGGCTAATGAATGGATAACAACAGTGCTGTGTGCTATACAGTTATGGTGAGTTCAACTTCAAGTCAAAGTGTGTTCGAGGAACAGTTTTTAGAGAGTAATACGTCTTCTCTTCAGCAGGACCCTTCTGCCAAGCAAGAAAAGAGGTATTAATTCAAAATAAGTGAATCTGGCTGTGGTGATATCCTATGACTCTTATTCTGGTGCACACACTGGCTAGTGATGGTTTCACCTAAACCTCCACACAGGAGACCGTGAGGAGAAACACCAAAGCAGCTGACACATTTAGACAGACCCGCGGCCGGGACCCGGGGCAGTCACTCACTTCTCTGTTAGCCTTTGCCAGCTCGATTCTGGATGGAAAAGTCTCACCTGGGTGTAATGTGCAGAGTGCTTAAGTCTACCTGATGCCCTAGTGCTAATATAGACTGGTTGCAAATTTCACATTTAAGTGGGATTAAGACTAGTTTTACAACCAGCTAGTGCATTTGTCTCATGGACCTCACATGCAGCAGACCTGACTGGACCGGGACTTGGACCATTTCTTCATATTGGACAGTAATACACTTTGAGACAGAACCAACAGGACAGTCGATAGAAGATACTCTTTGCTTCAGTCTTGTGGAGAAGGTAAGAGGCTTGTTTTCGTTAGTTTGGGACAAATTTGAGTGCAGAATTTCACAGGTAAATAGTGTCATAGTGTTAATAGTTAAATAGTGCGTCAATGACCTTATGAGACAGCGCCCCTCTGGTGTTTTGCCATGTGTGCTGTAGCGGCGGCACTGATGCCATGTGACTGTTGTGAGCTTCTTGTTGTAGTTTTGCTGACGTTGTTGGGGCTGGGTGTGAGTGGTGAATCAGGTTGTGCTGCTGTGTGAACTTTGCGCTTGGTGGTGTGTTGTGCTCTAATAGATATCGTTCAGCCAACACTGTTGTTTCTGGCATTCGTTATAATACTATATAGCCTATATATAAAACATATTTATATACTGAGAATTTTGACCTAGGTGCCCCCCTAAAAAATTATGCCACCAGCCGACACTGGCTATTTAGCATATACAGGCACAGTATGTCTTCGGTAAGCCCAGCCCCTTCCAACAATACATGTGTTTGGAACATTACGACATTTGTTGTTAAAAAAAAAAAAAAAAAAAGTACTGCAAAACAAACTTTGACAGTAAGAACAAAGATTGTGGCATAAAACTCAATTTAAGGACAAAGAAATTGTAAAATGCTCTATTATTTAACAGTATATGTAAAAAAAAAAAGTTTTAAGAGAGGTCTAACTACGTCATTTCGCGACGCTACGTCGTTCAATGCTCTGCAGCGCCCCCTTTTCGTTCGCGCCTGGAGTAGGAAATTCACTGAATTTGAAACAGCGTGGCTTCGAGCGGTGTCACGTAGATTTGAACTGCGCAAACAGAGAGCGCAACTTAAGCACTTTGATACGATACGTCGCCATTTTTGTTGAGACTTGCTAACTCCCAGATATAAAGCCTCTTTACGCTGATCTCTTGCCCAGAAATCAGCCTCTTTGGGCGGTCAGTACTCCTCCAGGCTTCATTTCGCCGCATACACCCGGACCTTCGGCTCCCTTCGCAGTCACAGACCGGGTAAAGAAATCGAGACGAGCCACGTAAAGGTTTATAATGAAAAAAAGCGTCTGTACCTCTTAGCGGCAATGTGCAGGCATCCTCTGGCCGCCTCTGTCTCGCCGTTCCAGGGTAAAATGGCTGCACAACAGTCGAGTGGTTGACAGAGCCAGACCGAGGGGAGAGCGCAGGAGGCGGGGTTTGTGAAGCCGCCGACTGGAGGGTGGGGGCTGGGTGGGAACAAACGACTGAAGAAAAAAAAACAAAAAAAAAACAACAACCAAAAAACAAAACTGCGCGTGAAAATGTTTCACTTCGTCATGGCTACGTTTTTCCGCGTCTACTTGAAATGTGAGGAAATTCAACAAGATATGTTGTGACTATAGCTGTATAGTGTAGATATTTCTTAAAGGTGGATTGTTTTTAGGGCTGCAAATAACGATTTAGTAATCAGCAGTCAAACAATAGGTGCTATTCACGCTTGCGTCACAAACCAGGAAGACGTCTGGAAAGATGCGATTACAACTTCCCAGGCCCCGTTTTCTTCATCTACATTTCACTGTAGCTTTCCATTAAGTTCGGCTAATCAACAATTACAACTATACTTCAGTTTTCATAATTTCCCCACTGAGGCACAACTCCGGGCGCACTGAGTACATGCGAATAGAAGAGATGAAGGCGCCAAATTCAAGATGATTCCAAACAGCACATACGTATACATACGTCTTCATTTTCCCGCTGATCACATTTACTTCAATGGGTTTTATCACAGTCTGTTTTAATAGATCCATGTTAGGCGAGCCCATTGTCGGCAACTACACCGGAAGTTCCCTTTCCCAACGTCTTGCTGGTTTGGGACATAAGTTTGAATAGACCTTTTTCACGGCCGGAAGTGCTGCAGTGTAGGGTAAATGTAATCTATGTCAATGCTTTTCTTTGGCATATCTGTGGAAATGTCTCACGTATTTTCCACCAGCTTCATAAATCTGCCTACCCATCACCAAATCTTTATCCAACAAGGTCCACAAAGGACATTCTCTGTCCATGAAGAATTTATCCACAACTATGAAGGTAAGAAAGACGAAAACTTAATCACAAACAATGACTAGCATTAGTGAACTACTACTTAACAAAACTAATGTTATGGTCATGAATAAAACCTAAGTAATAAGTCATTTGTTAATAAGTAACTTGTTAACTCAGACCGATTCTACAATTAAAATTAAAAATCGATTTCATGATGTAGATATTAGCATTGTAGGGAGATTTGTGCAGTTCGAATGCTACAGATGTTCACAAATTACATTTCTAGCATATAAACTGCACAAATCTCTCTGTCTATGCTAATATCTATATCATGAAATCGATTTTTAATTTTAATTGTAGAATCAGTCTGAGTTAACAAATTCTTCATGGACAGAACCTTATTGGATGAAGATTTGGTGTTGGGTAGGTAGATTTATGAAGCTGCTGGAAAATACGTGACATATTTCCACAGATATTTTACCATAGAAAAGCATTGACGTACGTGACGTTTACCCTACATTGCGGCACTTCCGGCTGTTGTGAAAAAAATCTATAGAGCAAATAATGTCTACATTGAGACTTTAACAATACATTGACCAAATGAAGCTTGAAATATCGTTTCTAAAGGCTTCTAGATAGATATTTACCAATTGAAAGTGAATTATTGGTGAAAATCAGACACTGTGACATTTCAGTTTATTAATGCCAGTGTCTTTATTATAAAAAGATCAATTATTGCAGCCCTAATTCTTTTACCAGCATTTACCAGTAGATGAAGCATTGAGCAAGTTGTGCTCAGAAATAACATTTTAGACAAACATAATACTAAAAAAGACATTTCATCCATAGTTCATTATTTTTTATCAATTGTTTTAGTTTATGTCATATGATTATAAATACATTGCAAATACAGAACAGAAATTCATGGGATAACAGGTTCCAATAGGCTACTTATGAATACACAATCCAAAAAAAAAAAGAGTTTACTTTATTTGTGAGGTCTGAATGTACATAAAACAGCATTTTCCCACACATAAAAGAAAATAAGTTTTTTTCCACATGAGAATAAAATCTGAAATGTTACTGCTGAAAGGTATGAATGTTGTCCATTTTGAGTAATAATGTTGTCAACCATTCATGTCTTTTGCTGCAGTATCACAAGTGTTCAGTAGGGGAAATACTTTATTGTCCTCTGCATGATTGCCTGAGGCACTGAGGATGAAGCAGAAGGTGACCTGCTGTTTTTAACATTAATTTAGAAGATCATATGATGGGATTTTAACCAACTAAGAAATGCAGCATGTGCAGTTCAAAGTACACAAGTAAGGGACTGTTGGATTGTGTGAAATGAATGTTTGTTTTTCCCGTATTCATGTAGACCACCATGCAAGACACTAGCTAAGGAGCTAGCTATGGACATTTGAGATATTACAGGCTTTTTACACCATGTCTTAATTGTTATGTGTCTTAATTGTTGTTTGTACGGTGTCTTTGAGTGTGGAAAGGTTTAAATAAAATTAATAACAATCATTTTTATACAGTCTATGGGCAGAGGACCTTCCAGATGAAATACTTTGAGGGAATGAATACTAACACACCACAGCAGAGTAAGAATGGGGCCTTTCCTGTTATGTTCACCTTGTTCCGCCTGGACACTTCTGTGATGCTGCAGGGCACAAAGGAGGGACACTTTTGGCTCTTCCACAGGATCTGCTGACCCTACCTGACCAGTTAAAATGAGACCTTTGACTGAGACACAAAGGTGACAGAGAAGCACACTGTAAATGTTGCAGCAAAACTGCAACAGTTTGTGGCAGCAAACTTGAATTTCCCTCGGGATATAAAATCTCTCTCTCTCTCATAGTGTATTAATTTGTAGAACTGCAAACAGAATCTCCCCCTAAAACCTGTTGCAAGTAGGATTAGTGATGAACAGTGAACAGCGATAAACCCTCTGCAGCCCAGGAAGAAGCAGAAAGAAACTGAGTTTGTCTGAAAGGGCACCGTCCAACAGGCATACTTACGTTACATTTTGCGTGAACAGGCATGTAGTCAGCATCTCATCCAAGACCTCAGAGGATGACTCATGATGGACTAAGATAAGTTTATTGTTGTGTGGAGTGAGTGTGGAGCATAAACTGTATAACGAAGTGTACTAAGCGAGTGTGACGTCACCCACAGCGTTCAGCTCCGCTCAAATGAAGCTCTCGATGCTACAGGAGTTACAGGAGCGAATTTGGAGCCAGGCTCCATATTTGGAAATCCAACCGCAAGTATCATAGCAACCACAAGAGCCAATCATGATTGAGGTCATTAAATATGCCCGCCCTTCTCACCGGGAAGGGGGCTTAGCAACAAAACACACTAGCTGTCAATTAAACCTGTGGCTAACACTAGCGGGAGCAACCCTGGAGAATGAAGGCATCTGATTGGTCCGTTATTTATGTTCATATTTTATTTTAAGGACAAAATATCAAAATTAAAAATTCAGGATTATGTAGAGTGGGTTAATATGAACATTTTACAACCAAAATATGGAGGTTCACCACAGCAGGTACAGAGAGAGGGGCAACAAGATCCCAATGTAAGTCAATGGGAGCCAGGGTCAGAAGGAGCCAGAAAAGCCTCCTGACGCACTTCTTATTTGGAACGCAGCAAATAGTGCATTAACTGTGTTCATTCATATATACAATCTACGGTGTAGAGAAATATATAGCTGAACGTCAAACATCAACATTACAAGGACAAAGGAGTAAGTATGGCATGCAGTACCTGAAACTTTGACAGCAAGGAGTCCATCTAGGATATATTCACCAATACCTAGGTTTACCATATTTCGTCTGCAATTTGGTTTATTTTAAAGAAACAGCAAGAAGGCGTAGCAGGGGCAGCTCGGATGTCTCTTATGTTAATCGATGCTTTCAAAAGTATGATTTTGCCTATGTGACGTTTTGCTATAGCTTGCATGTTCACTATACTAAATTTACAGTTACAAAACAGTTTCTTGAGTTTGAAATTTTAAATCTGACAAAAATCTCTCTTTCAGCTCAAGGTAATTGTGGAACCTCCATTAAATATCATGAAGTCCTAAGTATAGCTCCTCCATTGGTACAGTTGGTCAGTGAAGCTGTCTTAGGTCCAGGAGCTGTAGAAGGCTTAGGCAATGCAACATGAAAATGAAGACTAGACAGAATCTAGCAGCAGGAATAGAGTACTGAATATTTTTCAGGTTGATCAAAGAACACTATGACTCTGACAAAAACAGGTAAACTCATGTTTACAACAGTGCAAACATTTTTGGTAATCGTGTCGTGGTTATATGACTTGAGGTATCATAATGACTATGTAACACAGCCTGAGGGTAGGTGGATTTTAGTGATACCTGGTGAAAAAGGATGGTTAGCTAGTCAAAAAGTATTAACTGAAATAAGTATTAAATAAAATATTAACTGCCCTTACATTTTAAAGGGACACACAAGAAGAAAACCAAACAGGAATGTACACAAACAACAAGAAAACTTTTAAATTCAGGGTTCCATGAGATGCATTAAGGTTCAGTCTTTTTATCCCTGCTTCACTGATGTGGCACATGCTCCAGTCTTGGACGAAAGGTTGTCCTGATGTAAGCCCATATCAAAATGAAACCATCAGTTCACATATTTACAAATAACTTAAATTGTACATTCCACTGCATCTCCACCTGTTCATTCTCGGTAAATGTCAGTTTTTCAGAGTTTAATCATGGACTTTATGAGTGCGTCGGCAGAACGTCCAGTGATGTTCCACTGTGTTCTCGTTGGCTCGTTCACTCATGTGGTGGACTCGAGTGTTGCGTATTGTAAATCCCTGAAACCGGACCAAAACAAAAAAGGTTATACTGGTAGTTGAGTTTCAGATGACATAACAACATAACAATAACATTTAATAAAGATGTCATAGCTTAATTTATAATTGTTAAAATGTAGATTCGTGTAATATTACTTCTGGGTACTATTTTCACCTAGAAATGATCAGGTTTAACATTTGGGACTCTTAACACTTTCTCAATGCTGGGCCAAGGATAACAGATCTCTTTGCCCTGCCTCTTCCCCTGAACTGCTATTGAATCTTTTCTGGAGGACCCTTTTCACAGGCTGAAAATTAGGCAGTTGTAAACTTGTAAAACTAGACAAATCCATAATTTACCAAATGTGTCCCATTTCTTGCCATTTCCTTTTTGAATTGAACTTACTAACGTATCACTATACCAAACTAACAAAAGATAAACCCACTGCTCTTTAATATAAGCACTTCAATGACAATCTTGCACTTGAATTTTTGTAAGAACTAGAGGTGTAATGATATTGTCGATATTACTATATTGTCGTAGTAAAATTGCCACGATATTGTGGTCTCATCACAGTATTAAACTCTGTGTCTTTAGGCAAAAATAAGAATTTTCAGTAAAATACATGAACCATAATCCTTTGTGGCCATGTCATCAGCCTGTGCGCCCATTGTAGGCGCAACAGCGGCTTTTAATTCTAAGGTCTAGAAGCATTTTGGGTTTGTCGTGACACGAAACAAGAAAGGGGTAAAGGTGACGGACAAACAACAGACAGTGTGCAAAGACTGCCAATGCACCATGCGATACACCTCAGGAAATACTAGCAATATGAGAAGTCACTTGGTAAGCTGACACACCGAAAAGAATGTTCAGAAAATCAAGTCGGGACAATAAACTATACGTGACAGCGCTCAAGAAATAACAAAATACATCGCAGAATATATTGAGAGTGATTTGCATCCATTTTCCATGGTGGACGGCATTGGGTTTAAAAGGTTAGTGGCTACCTGGAGCCGAAATATAAAATGCCATCACATGTAAGTTTGTTTTTTGTATTGCCTACGAGGAGGACTCAATTATACATTGAGTAATAATGTGTTTAATGCGGCTTTGTGCACATTTGTTTACATTTGCAACTTATTTGCATAAGCATCTAAACAGCTAAGTCAGACTTACTCTGCAAGGCTCCTGACTGCAGTAGCCATATTGACAATCCATCAAGCAGTGTGGCTTCGTAGTTTATCAAAGTCGTACGAAAACATTTTGACAGATTGAGCGCTGTGCACCACATAAAGTCAGTTCAAGGTCAGTAAGCACAAACACAATTAATACATAAGGCGCACTGTCGATTTTTGAGAAAATTTTAGGATTTTAAGTGCACCTTATAGTCCAGAAAATACGGTACTGTTCCTGCTGTCTACAGCCAGACAAAGACTAATGTACTACAGAGCCTTAAGCAGTCAGAGAGCGTCTCACTTACCACTGATGGGTGGACTTCAAGAACGACGCAGAGTTTTTTTTAACAGTTATTTAGTTGTTACTTGAATTTTGCACTTCAACTTCAAAGGCTTTTCAAGCTGATCTGATCTGAGGTTTATACCATGACGATATCGTATTGTGAGACTTGGATATCATTACACCCCTAGTAAGAACCATGAAGAATTGATGCGTACAGCTTTGGAGATGAACTCGAGCAGGTGGACTCTCAGGCTGACTTCCTGTTGGTGGTCACAAGGTCCGAAGGTGAAGGAGACCTGGTAGTCCCTGGTGTCCATCATGTGTTTGTTCCACTTTGTGAAGCTGTTGGAGATGGCCCCCAGAACACTCTGCACCTGCACAGGTAGAGTCACCTCCAGAAGTCAGGAGTATGTATTGCTGGGTTTCGGAGGACAACACAACATTCTATAGTAGGGTGACCAAACGTCCGTTTTTCCCCGGACATGTCCGTATTTTGCGTCATGTCCGGGGCATCCGGGTTTTTTTTATATAAAGTGATGCAAATGTCCGGGTTTTCAGTACCGTTCATTGGGGGCATTAAACTGAGCCTCTCACAAACAGTCGGTCAGTCTGCAGCATACCGAAGTACAAATGCGCATTTAACAATGACTTGTACAAGAAATTCTCCGTTTTCCGTCCCGGTCGGGACAAGTGGGAGACCATGTGCACAGGTTGTGAGGTGAGAGTACAGTGTTCCCTCGTTTATCACGAATGTTACGTTCTAAAAATAACCCGCGATAGGTGAAATCCGCGAATTAGTCAACTTTATATTTTACAATTATTCTATCTGTTTAAGGCTGTAAAACCCCTCAGCACACACTTTATACACTTTTCTCACACAGGACAGGTGCAACCCTTTCTACTTCCCTTTTAAAATTTATTGCTGCTGTCGTCCTTTTGTTATTTTCCTCCTTCTTTATGTAACAAACTGAAGATTAATTTATTCCATAATGGAGCCCAACAGCGCAGAGTCCCGCACAGATCCATTTTTGGAGACCCCCAGTACAACACTGCACCCGCGCAGTATAGGACTACATCTGCCCTTTAACCAGAGATTATATCAAACTTTTGCACTGCCTACGCCACAGACTGAACCAAGACTAAACCAGGACTAACCCAAGACTGATTCCAGGACTGAAGAGGAGGTCTAATCCACAACTGAACTAGGATTAAAACAGGACTAAACCAGGACTAAACCAGAACTGAAACAGGACTCACCGTAAGGACGGGCTTGGAGGTGACCACAGGAGAAAAGACCGGCTCAGCTCCGTACCTCACGGAGGTAAACGCGGCAATTGCCCAATCGCGCTTTGCGGACAAACTGCTCAGCGTTTTTTCTTAAATCCAAGATTAGTCCTGGTTTAGACCTGGTTTAGTCCTGACCCACCCGTGTGTAATTACTACCCGCCTGTAATACACAATACGCGTTCATACGCTGTAAAAAATAGCAAAATTGCACAAAAAACAAAACAAAAAAAACCCCCAAAGGTGTCCGGGTTTTTATAAACGGAAATATGGTCACCCTATTCTATAGGCCAGTTCATGCTTTGGAGCTGATGCCATCAACATTGGGAGTGTGATGCTAAATAGAGGCACTGTTCTGTCTGAGGAATTAAGATTAATTATTTTCAACACAATCTGACCAGAAGGAATTGACTTGGTTGGAATTTCAACAGGTGAGATGATTTATGCTTTAAAATGAGTTGCTCTCAAATAACATTACAGTCACAAGTTAACATTAGCCAACTGTTTTTCAGTTAGTATTCTCACCTTTTCGTTGATAAACAAATAAACGGGACCATCAGTGCTTGTTTTGATCACAGGCTTCTAAAAATGTGTTATTTAAAAATGTTGTATTTTTTTATCTTAAAACTTACTGGTCTGTATTTGCTAACATGAAACTTATTTGATCACCATGGAAACTGCTAAACATTTCACCATAGACATACACACAGTCCTAGCATGAGGTCACTGCAAAGTATCAATACTATATCAGTAATATATAATTTTAGGGTCTAGTCACAAACAGAAATGATCAGGTTCAACGTCTGTTAGTAAATTCACCTTTTAGATATTATCAATAGTATAGTATATTAGAATCTGAAAACCACCAATAGCAAGGGCTTAGCTTTCGATTTGAATACAACTATACAAGTCCTTTACAAGAGAAGTTGAGTAATGTAGCTTTAATACATAATTGTCAAAGTGTATCCAAATTATGTTCAGACCTTGGTGGTGACCGTTAGCTGGGTGATGATGACTGCCACGGGGTTAGAGTATTTGGACAGCTTCCTGGTACTGGACAGCTCCACCACTTCCTCGTACGAGTCGGTGGGATACAGCGGTGTGGGCTTGGGGTCTCCCAGACACTGCAGCAGGGGCTCGATCTGGTAGAAGTCGGCCTCTTTTCTCAGCAGCTCTGTCTCTTTGAAGTCGCAGGGAAGAGTGAGCTCCGACGTGCGCAGGAAGTTTAAGACGTATCTGACAAAAGCAGAAATGTGAGGATTCAAAGTTAGACAAGTTCGCTGGAGTTACACAAGAGTACGAGAGCTGTGGTTCTCTAACTGTAAACTCTTTCTGGTTTTCTTCTGCAGTTCTAATAAAGTTTGGACCTCATTTAGCCAAAGTTTAAACCTTGGGTTAAATTTTAATTTTAATTTTTTTGCTTCTGGCACATCCTTAAATTGGATAGTGTAGTTGTTGGAATGGAAGCGACAAAGCCTCTGAATATGAAAGAAAATGGTAATTTTCTTTGTGTGTAGTTTTGTTGTACGATTTGCTTTGGGGAAATGCTTTTAAAAAAGGGGCAGTTCAGGTGGACTGGGGCTTTTGATTAAATTTTCTGCTTCAAATATCGCCTCATTGTCTTATAGACTGGAGACAATCATACTACATTTTCATGATTTTCATTTAATAGACACTCAGAATATTGTAGAAATATAAAAATTTTGGTTATATAATTTTAGTTTATTTGATTTCAAGGTACCTTAGTGTTTCCCGCACTCTATAGTTAGGGTGGCCACCTTGAAAACAATTGACTCCCGCCTTAACTATGTCCCTCCGAACCACATGAATCCTCACAAAACTATGGTCGTCGCGCCTCGGTCCTCACTTTTGACTTTCGCCGGCATGGTATTTAAACTGGGCTGGATTTGATGACCTTGTCCAGCTTCTTCTCTTTCTGTGATGCTGCTACTCCAGCAGACCACACCTGGAGAACGAGCCTCTCCAGAGTCTGAGAGCCATTGGCCTGAAGCTGCTGAGGTCTTTGGCGTGCTGTGTCTTTTTGCACTGGTACCATGCAGGAGGTCTTCCAATCTTTGGCACCACCCTTATGTTGAAGATGTGTTTCATAACTGGAGCAGCTGATACCATCTGGTCCGGCTGCTTTTCTATTCTTTATCCTCTGAATGTTCACCCAGTCCCCTCATTCAACTGTTTAATATAAGGCAATATTTGAAGAAGAAAGTCTAATTAAATCCTCCAGTAGTGCCTGGAAGAAACCCCCCAGACAAGGAAGAAACACAGAAAGGCCAGAGAGTCCATCCCGCAACCTGCTGTGAGGTGAGAGTTCTAACCACTCAACCACTCTGCCGATGATTTGAAAATATTGGCTTCCCCTCCAATACTAACCCCAACCGACAACCTAGTCCTCTTAATGTCCTGACCTGAACAGTGTCCCGTCGCGGTCAATAAAGTAGTTTCCCTGTGCGTCCTTCACGGTGGGCAGGTCTCCTCTGAACATGGCTCCCAACATGGAGTCCGGATAGCGCCGCAGTGTGGACAAAGAAGTGCGGTACAAGCAGCCGCCAACATTCAGAGACACACACTCCCCCCTCTGGAGAAACAGGGTACTGTGGTGAGTATCCAGAGAATTTGGACTGCAACTAACATTATTTTAGCATTCAACCTGTTAGTTAATCCTATTGTACACTGAATTGTTAAAATATATTCATATTCACATTAAAGGTACACTGTGTAACTTTTCCAGTGCCGGGTTCATTACCTGCTTGTCTTCATGGCCTAGAAGAAGACCAAAGAGGAAATTATGGATGTAGTGTAAAAGGATGTTAGCTGTGAGATAAGATGAGCTAAGGATATGGTGGAGAATTATTTTATAAGCACATGAGTAAATCAGTCTCACCTGATCTATAAAAAAAATATGTATCCTGAAGGGGGCGGGACTAATGAGATGTTTTGTGTTTCTGAAGATGTTTCTGATGTATGTTTCCAAAATTCTGGTTTGTTCTGTTTTCACAATTACATTCAGAGGTAGTTTAACTGATGTTCCTTTGTTCTGATTCTGGATAGAAACCCTAATAAAAACTGCTGTATTTTAGAAACAGCAAAATAAAAACATTCGCACCATGTAGCCCAGACTCCCGTTCTCCATCGCTGAATGTCGAATCCCCAACGACCTGAAACGAGACCAGGACCAGAGAGGCGTGAGAGGCGGTTACCGTGGAGACCGCGGGGGAGGCGGTCGCCATGGAGACAGGAGGATGATGGCGGACAGTTGCCATGGCGTCACAGTTACCATGGCGTCACAGGCTTTGAGACCGACCAACGAGGAGCCAGTGCATATGAATTAATCTAGTGGCGGGAAATTGCAGTTTGTTACAGAGCTTAAAACAATGCCCTCCTCTGATATTATAATTGATGATTAATTTCATGGTAATTTTGTTGACTGTAAACTGCATGATTCTAATGGTAAATGGTAATTTTTCGAACAGCAATTGTGATTGGCGATTTATGTTTTAAAATCAAGATTTAGGTAGGTCACAGAAGGGTCATTCCACGCCAACCCTCTGAATGCCCCCACTCAACCATCTCAAATTTGACTGAAAAAAATTCTAGGAGGTTCACACACTTTCCAATAGGAAAAGTACCCAATTTTAACTCCTTATAGTATTGTCATTAAAAAATATTTTGTCAACTACCCCTTGACCTCTTTTGAGCAGTTTTCTGAAGAGCCACTTTCAGATTGCTGTATCTAAAAAACTATTCAAAATTTAAAAAGTTGAAATTTGGCAAATTTACTTTTAGAATATGGACTTTTACACATGTGCTTTTGGTTTATCACAGATTTTGGGGGGGCTTGAATTTCCTCAAAAATTCTACTCTTCAAATATGAGGGCATCTTTGAAGGTCTGTGCAAAGTGTGATTTCAAAGACAGAGGTTTGACATTGAACATACACCTTCCCGCACATGCTGTGTACTTTGTATTTTAAAACTGAGCCTCTGTGATGAACGCTCTAGAAGATATAGTGTTAAAAATGGAAAAAATACATTTGGTACCATCTTTACCATGTTATACCAAAAAAATTACAGCACACGCCAACATTAAATGGGACTGTTTTAGAAAGACTAGATGTCTGTTTTTAACATATCCAAAATTTGTGATGGTGTTCTGAATAATTTTTGAAAAATCAATTATAAATATATTGCAAATATATTTTACTATATATTTTTTTAAAAGTTACATAAAGCCATATAAATATCTTCTATTTCCATTTTGAGTTATTAGTTTGTTCAAAAAGGGTGCATAAAGAATGGGGCAATGCAAAAAAACGTGTAGTGAATATCGGTATCAAGCATTGATATCAACTGATAACATACTTGAATTGATATATCACACATCTCTAAATATTTGTCCTGCTGTTGTAGTTAATAACCAACATTTGCAGATATTTGATATTGATATTTACAGTCTGTAACAAAGCCAATAGATTTTGAAAAACAAAACAAGACAAAAAAAACAAAAAACAAAAAAACAACAACAACAAGTGGATTAATAGTACATTTGCTATCATTTGTTTTATGATGATTGCATTGAAACAGTCACCTCTAACTTTAGCTTTATCTCTTCTATAACTGTACATTGTCTGTTGAGACTTGATGCACTGAGCAAAAGAAAAATTCAATTTTGTCAACTAGACAAAGTTTTTTTGAGTTAAGATATTTTGCAGAGGGGTTAAAAAAAATGTGGATTTACTATCAAAATCATAGAGATAATGGGGCATAAAAACATATTGGTGGATAACAATATTAGCACTGATACATTTTTCAACTCTAGAAGTAAAAAGATGAGATAAACACAAGCCCCTCATCACAACTGAGGCCAAGCTCCAGACACTCAGACAAATCTTTCAGCTTCCACAAGGTTTAACTACACCCAGTGTAGGCCGTAATAATATCAACATTAAAATAAAACACACAATTTACAACTGCTTTAATCCTGGACAAGATTCAGAAATGTACCTGCATCAAACAGCATCTCACACCCTCTAACTTGAAGATCCACCAAGTAGGTTGGCCAACTTGTCTCCATGTAGATGCCTGAAATTTTCCATAATATGATATTAAACCTAACTACGGGATGGCAGTAGCTCATTTAGTAAGAGTGTTTGTGCACTGATCCGAAGGTCGGCAGTTCGAATCCCGCTCTCGCGACATAAAAAAAAAAAAAAACTCATTGGTTGAGCGGTCAGATCCACTGACCCACAGGTTGGTGGTGAGATTCTACATCCCACAGAAGAATGTTATCGATTTGTCCTTGGGCAAGACACCTAACCCACCTTGCCCCAAGTGTCTGTGTACACTGGTGTGCCAATGAGTGAGCGGTGCCTTGAAGGTGGAAAAGCACTATATAAAAATGTGACCATTTACCATTATGTATTTATTTAAACCCTGGTGTTTTTATTGCTCAAAAACATCTTGAAAAACATGCACCATTACTATGTACGGATTCCCCTCTCCGCAGATCTGATCTGTAACTTGAACCAATTGATTCCTTGGAGATGTATAAGTGTAATTCCATACTGTGGAATATTTTAGGCAGTAGGCAATGCAAAAAACATCTCCATGGAAACAAGGTGGTTACCTGCATCAGAAAAGTTGCTGTGCATCTTAAAATATTTTGTCCCTACTGTTATGGAAATCTTTATTCTAGTCTTTACTCTTTTACTGGGTTTAGGTTGTTGATTAATGGCTGTGAGTTTTGCAACTATCTAACTAATAACTTGCTCTAATGCTGCTATCATATGCAGACACTCTGGCCTTGCGCCCCCACAAAAGTCTCAAGTTGTTATTCCACTGATTGTTGTGTCTTGATTTGAGTTGACCTATCCTTGGAAGAGTATTATGCCTTGTATTTGCATCATTCATGTGCCCTATGCCCCCCATGGGGTATACAAACTTTGTATGCATTGTTATGATTGTAGCTTAGGGACAGGTAGTTCTGTGATTGTGCGCACAATTGCTTTAATAAATCAGACTTTTTTTTTATTATAGTGATAGTATAGTTAATTTTGATTATGGTATAAAAATTCAACAACACTACCATCCTACCTACCTAACATCCTTCTATCTCACCATATATTCTCTATCCACTTATGTATAATATATTAATTAATGTTTATATTCACTGTCCCTCCTCTGTACCATATATTCACTGTTCACTCACCATCTCAATCTAGACACATCTGATTTAATTTAACACCGCATTCACAAACTGCACAGTTGAGACATATGATAAAGAATGCCACACACTGACTGATAAAAATACAACAATCCTTACACTAAACATGTTTTATGTGAAGAATAAGAGTATGAAAGCTGTACAAAAATATATCTACATAGAAAATTCATTATTACACTAGAATAATAACGTGACTAATTCAAAACTAACCGAGAATCCTTTCTGACACAAATCCGAATAAAACAGGACTACATTCAAATGCAGATTTTTTTTGTTGATGCATCAAACAGCTGTGACGTTAGCTCTAACCAAGCTAACATCTGCAGCTAACCAATTACCTATGGGAAAACCCCGCAGATTAACAGTGAAATAGGAGTAAATCTTACCTAAAACCGTGCCATTTGAGCTGCTATTCCGACAGCGACAAAAACAAATACCCAAACAGTAGGAAAATTACGGTTCAAGTTCATTTGCATCAATGTTTACATCTACAACAACTAGCTAAGCATGTAAAGAAACCACACCTCCGGTTTCACCAAAATAAAAGCACCATGACTGTAAAAGAAAACCACGTTTTGTATAGGCGGTTTTAAAATAGAGCAAATAAATAATAATGATTTGTTGCGCTTTATGAGCCTTTTCATATTTTAGCTTGTGTTGAAACTTAAACATTAAATAAATTTAAACATAAATAATTATAATAATAATGCTTTTTTTTTTAAAGATTTTATACGAATAACAAAACAACAAAATAAACCACATTAAAAACGCTTGATGTTTTGTTTTGCGATATTAGGTTATTTTATGTACTCAAACTCGACCTTCAGGTGGCGACAACACTCCAGTCCAGTGCCTGTGCACGTGTGTCCTCCCGCGGCAAGAGGGCGCCATCTCAATCCGCTGTAAAACTACAGTGTTTATCCATTTTCCACTTCCTTTTTGACACATTTTTACACTTTCTTTCTTGTTTTAGGCTTTTATTCATAATCCTTCTCATAGATTCTTCACATTGCAGTGCGCCCACGTCGGGGACACTTATAACTGAAGCCCGTGTCCCTCTTTTGTGCGTCTGTATGCATTGTTAACTTGACGAACAGCGATGCTCTGCTTGTGATGGAGACCGACAACAGTGCGACCATAGCGGTGGCTCCCGAAGAGTGGGACGCGCCGGGAGAAGTGGAGGTGTCGCCTGCCGCTGACTGCGCTCCTGCGGTCGGTGCCGAAGTGGTCTGCTCCGGAGAAGGGTCACAGAGCGGAGCGAGGAAGAGAGGGAAGAGGAGGCCGAACTTTAAGCAGGTTCGAGAGTGGGCTTGGGTTGCAAGACATATCGCAATCTAAATCGCAATTAGCAAATCGTAAAAAATGCAATTATTTAAGTAATTTTCAAATAACAATATATTCTGTTTGCTAACTAGTTCAGACTTTAGGACCACCGCAAGCACTTTCCTGAATGCATGGTTTCTATATTAGTTTAGCACTTCACATGGTCTTGGGAATGTTTTAAAATGTGCAGAATCAAAACATAAATCACAAATCTAATGGTAAATGGTCACATTTTTATACAGTGCTTTTCCACCTTCAAGGCACTCAAAGCTCTTTAGATCAAGGAACCACTCACCCATTCACACACATTCATACACTAGTGTACACACACAGAATGCTTGTTAGAAAATTGTCCCAAAAGACCCAATCTTGCGTTTTGCACGGTGGAGAAAAGTGCCTTGTCCCAATAACATTCACAATTAATGAAAAGTGCTTCAAATGTATTGACTGTAAAATGATTAATCTCTTTCCTCCTGTTGCCCAGACGTCATCCCGCCCAGAGGATGAGCGCTGCAGTGGCTGTCGGGTGAAGTTTGAGCGCCACGGGCGGAGCTTTAACCGACGAGCCCTGTGCACCTTCACCAACCTGGAGACGGCTCGCTGGACCTTCCCTCAGGCCGCAGAACAACTCCAGGAATCCAGCTTCTTGTGTGAGACCTGCGCCCAGCTCATACGCAGCAAATATAGGAAGAGACAGTGTGGCAAGAGGACTCTATGGATCAGACCCATAAACACGGCACAGGTACTAACTGCTGGGTTTCAGATTACATTCTATAGGACAATAGTATCTAATACAGATGGGGGCAGCTAAAATTGTTAAAAAGAAGATTTAGGTAGTAATATAGTCTGTTCTAGATTTTAGTTACCAATCAAAGTGATCATGTTCATCATTTGTGAATTCACCTTTCGGATATTTCATGGCAAAGTACAATGTTATTAAAGGTCCTATATTACGACTCTTGTGAACTCATGTTACCTCCTCAAAAACATATCCAGAATTGTGTTTTGTTTCATTCATATCATACATGTTTGCATAACCATTTATTATTAGTCTGTCTACTTCACCAAAGAACAAAATCTTATGTTCCACCTTGTGATGTCATGAAGCATTAGTTTTCAAGTTAACAGCTACCTTTTACCTTTTGTTCAGTAGAGATTGATAATTCGAGGGCTGAAATCATCCAAATGATTCTAGCGAAGGTATATGGAGTTTAAAAAAGCAGTGGGGAACCTTCTGTATTACCATGATATCACAAGGTGCAACAGAGTGTTTTTTTTCTGCATGAGAGAAGAACTCAGCTTTAACATGTAGGATTTTTGTGATAAACGTGTGTGAATGAAACAAAACACAACTCCAGGTATGTTTATGATGAGGAAACAACAGTCATAGCATAGATCAGAAAATACTGTAATAGAATAGGGTAATTAAAATTGAAAATCTTGCTCTTGCCCTGCATCTGAGAGTTTGTCATCATCACATTCTAGGATCTGAAAACCACCTATGCTGCTGGTTACTCATTCTGTTGTGCTATTGTTGGACAAAAATGTTTATTTTAAAGGTGCACTATTGTAACTTTTTGGTTGGCTGGGGGGTTCATCACCTGTTTCTTTCTATGGATACAGGTGGTTTTATAGCTCAAAAATACTTAAAAATACATAATACACCTTTAAAGGAACTGTATGTAAGATTTTGATTTTAAATTACATAAACTTGACCTAGTTGTGTCAGATCAGAGAGAATTCAACTGGATATCAGCATTAAATTTGGAAACCCAAATGGACTATTGTGAGGCTCATTTGTGATTGAATCAACTTGAAATTACAATATGAACAACTTGTCCATCAGGTCCACTGTTTTTGTAATTAAGAATAAATCAGTATTACAATTGCTGTCAGTAAACGCTATATTTGATTTAAACATGTTTACCTTGTATTTGGGGACACAGATAGGTCATTTGTGTGGAATCTTACATACAGTGCTTTCAAAAGCACGCTTAAATGTACATTGTGTAACTTTTCTGGTGGAGTTCCATCAAATGCTTTTCTCCATGGAGAATTGATTGCGTTGTCTGGAATGTATGGTATGATGTTAAATCTTTTTAGATTTATGGAGGCCAAACCAGACCAAGTGATAGATCAGATCAGTGGAGAGACAACCACGCTCATTATCAGTCAGAATGCCTGTTTTTCTAGGTATTTTTAGGCTATAGAAACACCTATAATTGAGTAAATGTTAGGTAGCGCTGTTTAATGTCATACTGTGGAATATTCCAAGCAGAGCTGCAACTTCTCCATAGAAAGAACCAGGTGACGAACCCCCATTGATAACGTTACATAGTACACCTTTTCATTTCACAACAGATAGAACCAGATTCTGTACCTTACACACCATGGCAGCATTCGTGTCTACACAAATGTTCCCTTTTTGAACAGAATTTTTACATTTTCATGATTCATTGTCACACACCAAGCAGTATGAAATGCACTTCTCTACTGTGTTGCAGATGGAGCCCCAGTCCCGACCTAAAGAAAAGCGTTCTGGGAAAAAGTCGAGAGCAGCCCTCTTGGTCAGTCAATCACGTTATAAATCAGCTTTCAGAGTCCTGTGGTCTGCCAGAGGAGCCAGAAAACCCATGATGGACTTCATCAGCAAACAACTCAAACTAGAGGTGAGGTTAATATAAAGCTCATGAGAGAGGTTTGAGAGGTAAGGCACAGTTCAGTTCAGTTAAGGAGTTTTGGTCTAGTGTTGTCATGATAATAAAATTTCAAACTCGATTGAGTACTAAGGAATACACTCTATACTCCACAATACAGATTCTGATAGTAAAATAATTACAAACACAATTTAGATGATAGACTATGATTTTCTTTTCTATTACCCTGTGGCCTTATATCTGTGTAATCCCTTAGTGGTCCAGGTAGGTTCCATAGTGGTCCATGGGTGTATCCCAGTCCATGTGCTCTTATTCTTGTTTGATACAGCTCAAAATCATTCTAAAGCTATTCAGCAAAGGTGCATGAATGGGACTTTTTTAGCATCGATAATTAGTATGTAGTTTTAATACTAGTTTTTAGCTTCGATTTATTTGATTTTCATTACCTTTGACAACCATAGTTTGGACCTAGTTTGTCTGACAGATTAATTGCAATTGAATAAAAAATGCTGTTTTAACAGTAGCAATACTTACAAAGCTATTGTTATTTACAAGTTAGTCTACAAAGAACTAAATATAAAGGTCTCCATTGGAATTCATTTTGTATTAAAACCTCTGCAAACATAGTCTTAATTTATCATTTGCAAATCTTTTCATAATCACAGTGCTTATCAAAGGGTTGAAAGAGTTGAAAATTAATGAAATAGCTGGGTTTCCGTTTCAACATTCTATAGGCCAATAATATTTAATACAGATGGGAGGGGCAGCTATAATTATTGTTAAAATGCAGATTTTTGTGCTGTACAGCAAGTCCTGAGTCTAGTCAATAATAGAAATGTTCAGGTTCAACATTACAATATCATCAATAGGAAAAAGTGTCTCTTGCTTCCCCCTCATTCTAGACTGTGAAATGCAGCAAACTGATGTTATTTGTTATAGTTTATTCATTCTACTAAATATTTTAGTAGTACAGTTTAATAGTTAAATTTATTTTTTTGTAATAAGAACAAACCCTATAATTAGTGTCCATCTGAATTTAAGATACACTGTGCTGTTCCCCCTCCCTCCAGATGAAGGAGCTGTCTCGACAGCACGGCAGTCCATTCCATCAGAAGGTTGCGAGCTCAAAGCCGATGTCGATGTTTCCGTGGCGACGCTGTTTAAATTGGGCTCAGGAGAAGGCCCCCCTCGTCACACACTGCATCAGAGCCATGTTTCCAGACGCGGCCGCCATCGCCAAGAGCAGCCAGTCAGTTTTGTTGCTTATTAATCAAAAATGTGGGTTAAAGTGCCCATATTATGCTAATTTCTGATTCATTCATTCACACAAATCCTGCATATTCAGGCTAAGTTCTCTCAAACAGAAAACACTCAAAATGCTCTTTTCCACCTTGTGATGTCATGAAGCATTAGTGTTCAAGTTAACTGCTCCTTTTACCTTTAGTTCAGTAGAGATCAGCAATAGGAGGGTTTCAGTCACATGATCACGATGACGCACGAACTTCAGGTGGAGGGCAGAAAGTGAAGACAAACACAACAAACACAGCTATGGAGAACACAGATATGGAGAAGAGTTCTTATTGTAAGGATTTAGAGCCAGTAGCAAGGCAAAAGTACGAGCAGTTAGTTGACAAATATATTGGACGTGACCCCATCTTATTGAAAATTAGAGAATTTTTGACTGAAGTAAAAGATTTGCCAACAATCAAAACAGAGGATATCACAAACTATCTAGTTCTCCAGACATCGTTCTACACCAGACAACAGATGAAGGCGTACAAAAGTTTGGAGGAATATAACTTTTTTTGTCAGTGGATGGGTCCTCAACCTTGGTGCAAAACGCCTAAATGATGATTATCGTTTGGTCTTGGCCTGGGTGAGTGTTTCTCTTATTTTATGTGCATATAGACTGTTATGGAAAAACTGCAGTGTATCGGCAGTAACCGATCTGTCCGAACTATTTAATGTCAACAAATGTTGTTAGCCGTTAGTCATTAATGATTTGTTTATGTTTAGGTAAACCACAAAAAACAATTTAGCTTTGTTACATACCTTTGTCGAAGTGGTCACTGCAGACACGAGCATTTGCGGATTCTGCTCCTCCCGACCGCAAACATAGGTGTGTAATCCACTTTTTATGGCTTTGTTCTGTCAGCTTTTCCCATTTCTGTGTTTTGTGGACGACTATATTCGGTACTCTAAAAAAATCGCTTTTCCTTCTCTCAGAACAATTGGCAAACTACACAACACATAGGCATTTTCCTCCAGTCAGTTCACTTCGTGCCCTCCATCTGATTTTGTGTGCTGACAAATGTAGCCCTGTGACGTCACGTGAAACCCAGCTATTCCAGGGCTGATATCATCCAGATGATTGTAGTGAATGTGTATGGAGTTGAAAAACACAGTGGAGCACTTCCTGTATTACCACATGACATCATACGGCGGAACAGTGTGTTTTCTGTTTGAGAAAAGAACTCAGGCTAAATATGCAGGATATGTGTCAATGGAAAAAAAACAACATAAATAGATACAATTAGTTAGTTAGTTAGTGCATAGATCAGAAAATACTGTAATATAGGCCCTTAAAATAGTTTAAATCTTGCCTTAGTTTGAGTGTTGTAATGACTACTTTACCACTACTACTTTACTACTCTGTTACTACTTTCTGTTGAATTGCTTATCCATGTTTTTTCATCAGTCATGCCAAAATTAATTCGTATTTAAAGATAAACAATTGGGCAGGGAGCTTTGGGTGGATGTCACTGACAGCATGTTAAAAACTACATGAATGAAATGAATACTTCTTTCGAGGACACCTCTGGTTTTAGAAAGAGAAGGTTTGTGAATGAATGCTAATGCTAATGCTAATTTTAAGGCATAATAAGTTTTAAAACAACGCCACAAACTCCAAAAGTATTCTACATTTAAAAACAATCGGGTAGTCTTTTGCTTTAATTAATTAGAATTTTAATAGGTTATTTATTTTATATTTTATGATTTTAATAAAAGTGACTGTTAGCTTTGAGACACAGGCCGCATCTCATTTCTCTTTTCTCACTTCTGTCAATTTGATTCCTCTCCTTGAGTCTGCAGGAAATGGGTGAGGTGAAGTCCTGCCCACAGAGGAGACACGGGTAGGAGAGAGGATATAAACTCATCACTGAGACCACTAAAGTTTGATTCTTTTCTCTGACGTCTGCTCCTGAAGCCGCCCTCAGGTTTACTCCTTCCTTTCATGGTTTTCTTCGGGACACCACTTAATCTGACTTATTTGATTGACAGCCGAAGAATACAGGTTTGAGGAGAAGGATCAAGGAGAAGGAAGCAAGGAAAGGGAATTGAGATGTGGCCTCTGTGAGCTGGCTTGCATGCTGCTGTGCTCCGAGCCAACTGATCAAGCTGATAATCCCTCCCCCCCTCATATCACCTCTTGTTTCTGTTAGTGTCTTGACGGAGGAGCAGGCTGGTGCACTGTTGGACCGGCGGATCGTGACGGCGCTGTCCATCCCGCTCTTCACGCGAAACGTTTACAAGAACAATTTTGTGCAGGCGTCTCTAGGGGCGGAGCTTAGGCTGCAGGGCGTGTCCGGGTCGGGGCTAGACTCTCTGAACGCTTTGGGACTGTGTCAGAACAAAGACACTGTGAGGCTCCTGCTGCTACGGCTACTACAGGGCAGACGCGGGAGGGTGAGTGAAGTTGTACCAAACACAGACTGTATAAAGAAGTGGACTGAGCGAGTGTGACGTCACCCATAGTGTTTGGCTCCAGTCAAATGAAGCTCACGAGGCTAGTGGTTACAGGGGCAAATTTGGAGCCGGGTTCAGTATTAGGGATGGGAATTTATTTATAGACAAAATAGCAAGGATCATGTAGAGTGGATTAATACGAACATTTTAAGACCAAAATGACGTAGCTCACTGCAGCGGTTGCAGAGAGGGAGTCGACAATTTTTCACTTCTTATTTGGAACGCAGCGGCTAGTGGATGAGCTATGTCCATTTATAATGTATACTCACTCGCTGTGTCACCATGGTAACTCCTCCACATTCTACCACTAGAGATACAGGTAGAACACCCCCAGCATCATGTCACTGCAAAGTATCAGTATTGTGAAAACATGGCTGCTGGAATTGGATGTTGGTGACCATAGGTGACCATGGCGATGATATTATACCTCATTGGTCCAAATCTAAACTCCAAAACATTAAATTTATTCCATTTTGACCTTGTCTTAACTCTAATGCAGTTTATTGTGTTTTTTTTTATTTTTTTTATTTGTAGCTGTTGTCAAACGGTCGCTTTGGTCAGAGGTTAAAACAAGAGCAGCTCAAAGCCCATCAAAGCCCAGATGTGGAGCAGCAGGAGGGGAGCGAAGAGGTGGAGGCCGAGTCCGATACTGAGCGAGCGGAGACTGAACTGACAGGTAGTTTTCCCAGTCTCATCTAAGGCAGTTTATAGATTGATCATCAGGACATGTGCTGTTAGCTTGCTAGTTGTTGATACATTACAGTGTATCAAAGAAAGGAACTAGGAACTTCTGTTTTTCATTTTTTTAAGACAGTAAAAATCAGGTACTGTGCCTAAAGAAGAGTTGAAGTGAATGATTTAATACAATACAATCAAAATTGACTGATTTTAATGGTCATATAAGTTACAAAAAATAGTATTACTGAGTTGAATTATCCTGTAATTGTGATGGGAGATTTTACTTATTATTATTATTTCTTAGATTTAAAAGTTAGGTGTTGTCAGAATCAGCTTGGACCTGCATCTGTTTAGTCTGCTAATTAAGAGTCCCTTAGCTTTGTCATTCTTTTGGCTTCAGTATCACTTATTATGATCTGTCATTTTGTTTAGTCTTTGGTTAGACATGTTTTTTCCTAGTTTAGGGCTGCTCTCATTTATTATATTATCCTATATCAAATTTTGTTTTGTGTTAGATCTGGTTTAGTCCTACCTTAGTGCATCTTGCGTAGTGTACCCAGTCTGCAGTTACGTACCTGTAGTTTTGTGGATTACATGAAACACAATATAAATAATATAGAAAACCATGACATCATCACCTTTGAAAACACCTTTGAAAACAATTGAAATGGAGAATAGAGCTGCTTGAGAAAGCATGATTGAAATGTACACCTTTGTAACATATAACTCTTTGCATCTTCAGCGGATGAAGTCGAGGACGAAGTTGAGGAGGACCTGGAGGAAAACGATGAAGAGGAGTCCAAAGAAAGAACAAGGAAGAAAAGGAAACATCGCAAAGAAGAGGAAGAGACTGATGAGAGTAAAAAAGGCAGAGTTGTTGTGGTTCGGTTGGGTCTGTTACACGAACATGCCGACCCTTAGCCACGCCAATCTGAACTTTACTTTGGACTCACTCTCTGAGAGTCGGAACCGCTTATAATTGAGGTGGACGTTAGGGCTGAATTTTGTGGTCAGTTTTGCTCTTTAATTTCCAGATTGCGGATATTTTGTCTCAGTTTATGGTAGCTATAGCTGTCATATTCTGGCCTATTCACATAAAATGAAAATTAAGTTTGCTATCTGCTCTGTCAAGGTAAAATATGTCATTCATTCACAAAGGTATAACTATTGTCAGTTAACAGGTGTAGCCTCGGGGGTTATCAAAAACTCAATTAATGGATACTAATTGATAATATACTGAGTAAAATAAAAAATACACCCAGGAATGTAAACACCAATATGCACACAGGTATCCCACAAAACCAGATATTATATTTGCTCTGCTCAAATCAACAAGAAACTCTCAGACATGCCACACACTACCCACTCTGATCCCCAGCTGTAAACCCTTTAAGATAATATGTCACCAGAATGTTTAACATTCCAGAATGGAGGCAAGTGGAGGCAAAATAAAGTATACCATAATGCATTTTTAATAATTAACTAACAACAGCTCTAAATGGTTGTGTCTTTATAATAAAAAGTAATTTCCATTTCCAAAACCTAAAACATCTGTATGTTTCCTTCAGCAAAAATGCTTGGTGTCATTTACAACTGTGTTTATCCTATTCAATGATAAACACAGTTGTAAATGTCTTTGCAGCTCTGTTGTCTGAGTTGTTTTCATTTGCTAAACCCACCTTCATTTTTCATTCCAATTTCTCATGCTCCATTTTACTTTTGCCTCCCACTGCATCCATTTACATGTGTAATGTAATGCTGAGCGAAAGTTCTGAAAAACTATCCAAAACACTTTTTACTTCCTGTAGTTAAGAGTGAATAACCCACATTTTGCTCTCCTTCTATTTTCACATTGTTGTTTGTGAAAATTAAGTTGTTGCAATTTAACATTTGGAGTTCCCTGAGACAACCCTCCGACTGCAACATGGTAACATGCCCTGAACACTGATTTCACTGAACCACTATGAAGTTGACGTCAAAGGTTTTTGGGAATGTGTGGACATAGTCTTATTTTCAGTAATGTAAAACTTTATAGTCCTCATTATCATTTTGAAAGTTAACTTGTTTGTTAATAAAAAAAAATAAAAAACTTTTTGCCAGTTTGGAATTAATAAATTCATAATTTAACACATGACAGACACTGGACCTGTACACTTTCTTCAGTAATAATACTAATACTAAAATCATAATTAAAGGAACTTAATATAGGTTGTTCTCCTCGTGTTAGCTTAAAAAAAAAAGTCACAGCTGAATCTGGGTTGCCATTGCCTTAACCTGCAGACAGACTAAAGGACACATACAAGTTTTCTTATTCTTTGGTCAAAATCAACGGCAATACCAGTACTCCTGGACTACTACACTGGTGCCATAGTGTGGATTCTATGAAGCTTTTGAGTCTCTTGAGGTTCACGTGATCCAGGATCAGCAGCTCTTTTAGTATGTTCAAAACTGTGCACCTTCAGTGGACCTGGCTTTCTGAAGCTTTCTCCACATTTGTCTCAGCTGTATGACCTCCGTTCACTATGGCATTCCATGTGTTTCCTCATATAATTGGTTATAGAGGCCTGTCTACACTCTTCAGACACATGTTTTTTCTCCTGTGTGAACAAGGCAATGAATATAGAGAGAAGAACTTGTTGTAAACGTTTTCTTGCATTGATCACAACTATAACGTCTTTCTCCGGAGTGGATTTTCTTGTGTGATGCACACATGGCCACTTGTGTGGCCATACCAGCTTGTCAAAGCCTGATCCCGTCAGATCTCAGAAGCTAAGCAGGATGGGCCTGGGTAGAACTTGGTTGGGAGACCACTAGGTATTCCAGGTGCCACAGTGGGGCGCCAGTGGCAAAAAACTTGTTGTGTCCTTAGGCAAGACACTTCACCCACATTGCCTAGTATGAAAGTGCTGTGTGCGTGAGTGTTGGTGGTGGCCGGAGGGGCCGATGGCGCAGATAGGCAACCTTGCTTCCGTCAGTCTGCCCCAGGGCAGCTGTGGCTACAATAGTAGCTTACCACCACTGAGTGTGGAGTGACTGAATAATGAACTGTAAAACGCTTTGGGTATCTTGAAAGGCTATAAATGCAATCAAGCAATCACTATACTGGTCACAACTGTGTTTTTTCTCCTGTGTGGGTATAGGAGTGAACAGAGATGTGCTCTGTCTTTTTAAAAGATTTATCACACTAGTTGCATTTGTGCGGCCTCTTTTAACTGTGAACACATTTGTGATTTGGTAACATGCTTGATGACCAAAACGTCTTCTCACACTGGTCACACATGCAGTATATGACTTCTCCCCAGTATGGCTTTGGCTCTGGTGTTGTTTTACAGTACTGTTCCAGCACTGTTCCATTTGAAAGTCTGTCCACATTCCTCACATTTAAATAGTTTCTCATTGCTGTGGACGTTGTGGTGTGACTGATATTGAGGCATTTCTTCCCACATTGGTCACATTCATAAAGCATCTCTGCTTCCTCTTCATTGTGAGTTTTGTTGTGGACTTTTAAGGTAGCTCTTTGCTTATACGCCATCCCAAACTCTTCACACACATATGGTCTCGTATGTGTCCGACGGTGCACGGTGAGGTCTTTTAATATTCAGAAACTCTTCTCACAAAAGACACAACTATAAGGCTTTTGGCCAGAGTGGATTTTTATGTGACATTTATAAACATCTTCAAAATTCCTTCCCACATTGGTCACAGCTGTGATCTGAATTTTTCTCCTGTGTGGGTTCAGTAGTGATTGAAGAGGTGGGCTGCCTCAAACTAGCCACATTCATATGGCCTATGTTCACTGTGGGAAGCTTTGTGACTTGATAGCAGGTTTTTGGTCTTAAATGTCATTCCACACTGGTCACACTCAAATGGCTTCTCACCTGTGTGAATGCTCTCATGGTTTTTAATAAAATCTGACCATCTGACAGCACAGCTGCATCTTTTCCCCAGTGTGGACTTTCATGTGAGATTCGACATGGTTAGACAAAGCAAAGGGCTCTGTCTAACCAACAAAGGGCTAGTTGATTTGACTGTAGATTTGTGTGACATGTAAGTTGTTTTTTTTTTTATCCTAAATGTTTTTTCCACCTTGGTCATACTCAAATGGCCTCTCTCCAGAGTGGATGGTCTTATGATTTTTTCTTTTTTTTTTTCTTTTGTGAGATAGCACATTTAAAAGCCTTCTTTTTGGCCACCAATATGATTTCATAATGCTAGCGCCCTTCATCTGTAAAGCAAATTAATCTACAAATAAACTTACCTGGCCATTTTAGAATTTTCTGACTAATTTGACGAGTTTTCTGACTAATTTTCTGACTAGTTTGTCGTTAAAGTGAACCAGAGTATTGCATAACTGCCAGTCTTCTTTTTGTGATGCCAGTAAATAAGATTCAGAGTGGACATGGTTGATTAGACTTTATTATTATGATCATCAAGTCATCAAAACTATCATTGTAGAAATAACTCTTTTCAAATGGTACCACTAAGTAAACATTCCCAAAACACAAGCACAGAAATAAAGATCATAGTCCACTGACTGATTTATTGGTCATAGCTGATGATAATGTAATAATCTTTTTTGCAGGTGTAGTAAGCACTGGTAGCTGTCATCCACGGATCCACCAACCTTGTCCTTGGGCATTTTCCCAAATACACGCTTAGTCCCGCCTCTGTTTCCAAAAGTCCTTCTCTTATTGGCTGCGTTTTGTGTTACGTCCCCAGCGTCACTGTAAACCCGAGCGCTGATTGGCTGCCTCCCCTGACCTCGCTCCCTCTCCTCTCCTCCACGTCCGGCAGAGGCGCAGAGGACAGGTTAAACATGGCGTCGCTGAGGTGCTTTTTCCGCTCCGGAAAGGTCCCACGTCTTTTAAACACAATTATTAACATCCCTCTTAACCTTGTGCGGGTCTGTAACGCTGTATGTTTGTGTGTTTCTGAGCAGAATGCAGTTGCGGCTCTGCAGAGGAGCGGGTTTCACAGCAGCGCTCCAGTCGCTGTCCAGGTCAGTGGTAGCTTTTAGCATTAGCCGCGGACTTTATATGAATGTTTTCTCATACCTTTGCATCATGGCATCAAAAACAACCTCAGCACGTTTGCTCGACTTAACGTGCTTCGAATCAGTTCAAGTCAATGCGTTATGGACTCTTGTGTTGGCGTTATTTCCCATAGTCCTCTCAGGCTAGGGCTGAGGCATGGACGTTTGTCATGTCAGTGTCACCCTTTTGACAACTCTTAAGAAATGAATTGTGTTTTAAATTCAGATTATCCTCAGTTTAATTTAATTTTTGCCTTGTAATCTAACATGGAAGTACGAGTCATTCATTCAGTTACTTCTGATGTAACGTGCATTGCTCCTCCCCTCCATTATGAGTCTTGCTAGTTTAATTTACTAACTTAATCATCAAAACAATAGCTGCACCAAATAAACAGAAGAAACCATCATTTAAGGTGTTATTAAACTGCACTTCTGAATTAAATGAGCTTTTATAACCCTACGTTCCACGATGTATGATTAGAATGTAATATATGAATAGAAAAACTGTGGTTGTTACTAAGAAGCTATTTACATGTGTTGAGGTTTGTCTTTATAGTAGACCACAATATTTACATAAAACTACTTAAAGGGCCCAAATTGCACTATTACATCCTCTACGTTACAATGTTATATCCTCATTAAAACATACCTGGAGCTGTGTTTTGTTTTATTCACACAAAACTTGCATATCTAGGCTGAGTTTTTTTCTCAAACAGAAAACACCTTGTGAGGTCATGTGGTAATACAGGAAGTGTTCCACTGTGTTTTAAACTCCATACACCTTCACTAGAATCATTTGGATAATTTGAAACCTGGAATTGCTAATGTCTGCTGAGCTAAAGGTAAAAGGAGCTGTCAACATGAAAACTTCTGCTTCACAATGAACAGACCATTTTGAGCTTTTGAAATGTAGACAGACTAATAATAAAGGATTGCTCAAACGTGTGAATGAAACGAAACACAAGTATATTTTTGTTAAGGTAACAACATTATAAAATGGATTAAAGCTCACAAGAGTGTAGTATTGTGTAATATAGGATCTTTAACATCAGAAATTGTAAATTGTCTTTCTGTTCTACATGGATTGAGACATGGATCAAGACTTTTCCTCGTAGAGTTTGTCACAATATTTATTAAAATTAAGTTAGTAAAGTAAGTTAATTAGAGAAAATGATTATAAGACATTTACAGACTCGCAGAAGTCAGTATTGTATGTTTCATTTAAATGTATTTGTTTTGCTTTTGTCAGATGACTGTACGCGATGCTCTGAATCAGGCGATGGATGAGGAGCTGGAGAGAGACGAGAGAGTGTTTCTGTTGGGAGAAGAAGTGGCTCAGTACGATGGCGCGTACAAGGTGAGACCAGAAGAGTGGAAGATGTATCGGAAAAAAGGATAATACTGCAGTTGTTGTTCTGGTGATATGCAAAATTAGAATATCGAGTATATCGTTTGTATGGATGCACCGATACTGAAAATTCTACAGTTCTCGGTACTTAGAACAACTTTATTGACCCACAAAGGCAAATTTGGACACAGTTGCTCACACATCACAATGTATTATAATAACAAAGAGGAAAAATATAAATGGTAATAATAAATTCTAAATAAGTAGCAAAAATAACAAAGAGACTGGTGTCAAATAAAGCATAATTATATAAATGCACAAGTAAAAATAAAATCTAGAAATATAGTAATACAAATATATCTCTGTCTTAAAGAGGTCGTAAGAGAAAAACAGTGCAAAGATGATGTGATGATTTACATGACATGGTTGTCTGCTACACAAGGTTGAGTTGTTGTACGGTTGTAGGGAGTATTATTTGTTACACAAGGGTGAGTTGTTGTACATCTGTATGGAGTGTGGTATAAATGTAGTCTTGTATTTCTCACTGCTTGAGCGGAGCTGTAGGAGCCTGCTGGAGAATGAGCTCCTCCGTCCCTCTAGTCTGGTGCAGTGGGTGAGCAGGAGTGTCCATGATTGAGAGCAGTTTATCCAGTGTCCTCCTGTCCCTCACTGTGACAAATGTCTCCAGCTCTCAGCCGATCGTGTCGACAGCTTTACTGATCAGTTTGTCAATCCGCCCAATGTCCCTCCAAGATATTGTTTTAGCAGATATTCTATTTTTCCTCTATGAATTGGTGCAATAAGACAATTTAGTGGTCTGTGTTGACCCAGAACTTCATGGGGATTAAAGGTGCACTGTGTGACTTTTCGGTAGTGGGTCCGTCACATTCATTTTTCTATGGAAATGTCATTGCTTTGCTTGGAATGTTTCACAGTAAGCCATTAAACAGCCCTACCTTACATTTATTCAATTGCAGATGGTTTTTGTAAGTCAAAAATACCTAGAAAAAGCGGGGTTGCCTCCACAGATCTGACCTGTAACTGTCTTGTTTGGTCATGAAGGTAGAAAGGTTTAATGGCACACTGTGAAACATTCCAGACTAAGCAATAACATCTCCATGGAGAAAAGCAGGTGGCGGACTTTCCACCAGAACAGTTACATACTATTAAACTTGCTGTTTTGCAGTTACTTTAAATGATGGATAACAGTTAAAAACACATTTGCATCAGTTTTGCCGTATGTAATATTAATAGAAAATAGTTGTCGACCATATATGTAAATTCAAAGAGTCAACACAGACTCACTATAAAGGAAGATGGGTGAAGAGTCTCAAAGTGCCTGTGACAACAACACATTTGCCTAAAACAGTTAAGATCATTACATTTAAGATTTTACAAAAAAATTTACATTTTTTTTCCTTAAGTTTGGCATTTTTATAGGTTTCAAATTTTACTTCCTGGTTCAAAATCATGACATCCCACTAGGGAATTTTATAACTTACCTAGCAACCATGTCCAAATAAATAATCCCTTGTGGATCAGTAAAGTTTGTCTATGTACTACACTGGGCCAGAAGAAAAAACTGGGCCAAAAAATATAAAACCTTTACCTTGTTGAAATCATGTTCAAAGTATCAGAATTTATATTTATATATTTCTTAAAAATTGTACGTAACTTTTGGATATACTGTATTTTTTGGACTGTAAGGCACTTAAAATCCTTTCATTTTCTCAAAAATCAACAGTGCATCTTATAGTCCAGTGCGCCTTATGTAGTAGGTGTTTACTAACCTCAAATCAATTTTATGTGGTACACGGCACTCAAAAATCTGTCAAAATGTTTTATTACGACTTTGATAAACTTCAAAGCCAGACTGCTTGATGGATTGTTGGAGTATTTCGGCTACCATTGTCAGGAGCCTCGCGAAGTAAGACCGGTAAAAGCTGACCGCATCAGCGGCACAATGAGCGAGCTGTATTTTCAGCTCTTATAGTTTATGCAAATTAACCATGTGGCTTTAAATTTCGCTTCGCTTAATGCGCCTTATAATCCAGACTGCTTTATGTAAGAAAATAGACGAGAGAATTCAACATTATTGATGGTGTGCCTTATAGTCCGAAAAATACAGTATTTCTCCCTACTGTGATGGCATCAATACACAACTATCTAAATTAGAACCCTCTGCTTCCTGTAATTTTCAACATATTTTTTTACTTTTCTTCACAAACTGATGCTTGATCTGTGTAAAACTCTTAATTTATATTTCCAACAGATATTATCCCACCAAATTGATTGCTGCTGTGCTTCTTTCAGGTGAGCAGAGGTCTGTGGAAGAAGTACGGAGACAAGCGAATTATTGACACTCCCATTTCAGAGGTGAGCTGCTCATCTACAATACAAGTCCAGGATTAGATCCATTTTAGACCGGGGTTTCAGAGTTCGACTGGACCATTGCTACGTCAACATCCATGGTTTCTCTCCATTCTGAAATCCATCAACATCCCAACAGTCCCCGAAAATATTTGATTTTCTGATTCTCGAATATGGTGATGTCGTAGTCCCAGATTTCCGTAGTGATTACACTTTACTTTTTTTAGGAATTATACAGTTATAATAATTATTATGTAATTTACACATGTAGAAACTGATCGTTTCTATTAGTGACGAGCGGCATGGTGGCTGAGTGGCTAGCACTCGTGCTTCACAGCAAGAAGGTTCTGGGTTCAATCCCCGGGTCGCCCGGGCCTTTCTGTGTGGAGTTTGCATGTTTCTTCCTGTGCCTGGATGGTTTTCCTCCGGGTGCTCCGGTTTCCCCCATCAACCCAAAACATGCTACATAGGTCTCCATAAACAGTTGATAGTCATGGTCAGTTAAATACAATCAATTCAATCATTGTGTGTCCTTAGGCAAGACACCTCACCCACATTGCCTAGTATGAAAGTGGTATGTGTGTGAGTTATGGTGGTGGTCGGAGGGACCGATGGCGCCGAATGGCATGGCAGCCGCGCCTCTGTCAGTGTGCCTCAGGGCAGCTGTGGCTACAATAGTAGCTTACCATCACCAGGGTATAGAGTGAATGAATAATGCTGTATGAATGAATGCTGAATGAATAATGCTGTAAAGCGTCTTTGGGGACAGAAAATGTCTGTGAAAGCGCTATATAAATGAAATAAATAATAATAATAATAAAGTGACTAGACCCAAGAACTCTCTGTATTACAACTAAAATCTGAATTTGAGCAACATTAATTTTAACTGCCCCTCATCTGTATTAAAGGTGCATTGTGTAACTTTTCTAGTGGAAGGCCCGTAAAAATGCTTTTCTCTGTGGAAATGTTATTGCTTTGTCTGGAATGTTTCACAGTATGGCATTAAACCTTTCTGTCTTCATGGAGACCAAACCTGACCAAGTTACAAGTCAGATCCGTGGAGAGGCGACCTTTCCATCCATAGAACCAAGCTGTTTACGGAACCTCCACCAGAAAAGTTACACAATGCGCCTTTAAATATTACTGGCCCATAGAATGTTGTGATGTTATCTGAAACTCGGCAATAGTTTTTTATATTTTGGTGTTATATTTTATTTATAACAACAGATTGGTGCAGATGCAGTTCAGTTTAAATATTTGGACACCCTTCTCATGTGCTTTCGGTCTGTTGTAGATGGGGTTCACCGGAATTGCTGTTGGAGCTGCTATGGTGAGTAGCAAGCTGCAGCTGATATTGTCAACAAGCTAACTGTAATTGCTCTGTCTGAGGCTCTGTTACTCAAGTTAGACTTAATCTGAGTTTTATTTTAACACCAGAAAGAGCTGGCTTCTAATCTGTAGAAGACCAACTCAACCTTTTGGTGATTACCCTGAATTTCCACTAGGGCTGAAACTAGTGAAATGCAACCAATCACTGACCTTGTTCACATGCACACCAAAATCTGATTAAAATTATTTCTGGACCTTTAAGATTCCTTAAATGACATGCAAACCAGAAAATAGTACCGTATTTTCTGGGCTATTAGACGCGCTCTTAAGCCTCTAACCGCATCAAAAAACGACTGCGTTCCCCCCAATCCAGAGCGCCCTATACACAAACACGCACGGAGCAGACAGTGACCGCGCAGCGAAACACACCCGCAGCCACACTCATCACTCCGCGCCGACGAGGAACGGAATGGAGGAACAAACCGAAAAAGCGAGTGCAATGTGCTACTTCTAGACACAACTGAACAACTGAGTCACTGCAAACACGCTGACAATCCAGCGGTCCCAGACAACACCCTCCCTACACGCCACAACTGAACAAAACCCAGAGTCAACGTGAACGCGCCAAAGTCCAACTGACCCATCCAACTGTTGTGTTTCGTTTAAAGTCCAGTGCGGTTTATATGTGAAAATAGTTTGAAAATAGACCATTTAATGACAGTGCGTTTTATAATCCAGAGCGCCTAATAGCCCATAAAATACGGTAATAAAAAAGTAATCAAAGGGACCATGGTCAGAAAGAAATTAGATAAGTTTGTGGTTTTACATTTCATTTACATAATCTTGTAATTTCAAAAATGTAATATTAACTTGAATTTGAGTACGCACGTTACTGCGGCCACTGATTTTAGTTCATGTTTCATCAGCTAATTTAGTAATCAAATAATTATTTCCTGGTCTATACACAGACTCCAAAACAAAAAAAGATCTTATTAAGCAAAATGTGTAGCTTTAGTGTTTATGTAAATATAATGTAATTCACCTGCATGGAATTACAAAAGGTGATTTATCCAGCAATTTTATACATTTAGATGGGACAACAGCAGAAAGGTGTGACTGAGTTAGCTGAATATTTGGTATTTTTTTGTACTCATATATGTAAAAAGGCAGATTAAGCTCATGAGTCACAAGTTTATTCTGTCTTTATATAAATACATCTATTTCTAATCCATTTCTGTATAAATGGGGAGTGGAGTTTGGGTCAGATACAGAGATACGTAATAGTTTAGTTTAGTGGACTGTGGGTTTAGTCTTTCCATGGCATAAACAGTAACTCCTCTTGCTCTTGTTTTTCTGTTTTCAGGCAGGACTTCGGCCAATCTGTGAGTTCATGACATTTAACTTCTCGATGCAGGCCATAGACCAGGTCATAAACTCTGCGGCGAAGACATACTACATGTCGGCAGGTCTGCAGCCTGTGCCCATCGTGTTCAGGGGTCCCAACGGTGCTTCGGCAGGAGTCGCTGCTCAACACTCACAGTGCTTTGCCGCGTGGTGCGTTCAAGGACCTCACACACACAATGTACATGTCATAGGCTAGGATGTGAAGCTGCTATATCAGATTGGGGCAGTGGTTAGTGAACTGATTTAATTAAATAATCATCCTTAACCTCAGCAATGAAGTGTCTAAAAATGTTTTGTTTTTGTTTTTTTAACTCTTAAATAGAAAATGATGCAGATGGTCTGAGATCATCAGGAACAGAGTTCATACTCACAGTTTAACATTTCAGTTTGTTTTGTGCACAATTAAAACTTAAACATTATTTTTTAATATGAACAGATCTGACCCATGATATCAAATGTCGTTTATGGATACAAGTGGTTTTAATGGCATAACATAACATAGTGTGTCTTTTAAGTAATATGAGTGTAGCGCTCAGAATGAATGCTGAAATTTTGTACTGTATATATGACAAATCTTTTGGTGACACTGATTAAATTAATCAGTAGGGCTGTACAAAAGATAGGAACCTTTATTTCCCCCACAGTGGGGAAATTCCAGTGTTGCAATGCAAAGTAAAAAAATAAAAATCTTTTAACCGTTCTTAACACTGATTATTACTGTGTTGCGTTCAGGTACGCACACTGTCCTGGTCTGAAGGTGGTCAGTCCCTGGAACTCAGAAGATGCCAAAGGGCTGCTCAAAGCCGCCATCCGGGAGGACAACCCAGGTTTGCCCTTTGCTAGTGGGAAAGGGGTGTGTGTAAGACCTTCTCTCGCTGAGGTTTCTGTGTGTTTCAGTGGTGGTGTTGGAGAATGAGCTCATGTATGGCGTTCCTTTTGAGATGTCTGAGGAGGCACAGTCCAAAGACTTTGTTATTCCCATCGGAAAAGCAAAGATCGAGAGGCAAGGTCAGTGTGGAGTTATGGTGGTAATAAAAGATAAACTGATACTTCTTTATAATAACTACACCTTAATAAATCAGAAACAAACACTTATTTTTTTTTAATTGCTCATTATGAATTAACTCCTTATTTACCCAACCCCAACTTAAAAAAACATAAATCTTTGTTCATTCTTTACTAAGACAAGGTTACATGTATTAGTTATTGTTACCAATATGCCTATTGCTTTTTATTTGTATCTAAAGTAGAGACAGTTTAAATAACTACGAAATATTTCAAGACAAAGCAAAGAGTGGATACTTTGAGGATTTGAAATATAAAATGTAACTTTTTTTTGTTTTATAGTTAAACTTCTTTTCTTTGCTACATAATTCCATATATATTTGATGTCTTCTGTGTGTATATAAAATGTAGAAATTAGTAAAAAAAACAACATAAACATTGAATGGTAGTGTATATTGAACTTATAAAGTTGTATTTAAAATGCAGAATGGTCCACAAAGTAGAAATAAAAACGTATTAAAAGCAGAGTATTTAGATACTAGCCTTTGTACCCTGTCTGTATATTATCAAGGGTCACTGAGGTCACTTCCAAGAAACATTTGATTACACCATCTGAAAAAAAGCAGCTGGACTGAAGTTCAGCCCACATCCACATACAGACTTAAACTGGCAATATGTACGACCAGGCAAATGCCCGCATCCTCTATGTTGACAGACAAATAATCCGTCTATTTTATACAGTGAGTCTATGGTCCACTGGCTAATATACTGGTAGTAATATCTACAAAGATTCATTTTACACACCCCTCCCCTAGAGAGCCCCTCATGGCTTCTATACGCTCTGTTCATAAGGCACGTTTACAGCTTTGTACATTTAGACATGTGGTCAGAAGACGCAGGTGAGGTAGTTTAGCTCACTGCGTTAAGTCATTTGTCTTTAATGTGGCCGCTCCAGGTTCAAGACCCTGACATGACCGCTAGTGAGCAGTCAAAACTGTCAGGTATGAAACAAAACTCTTGGTCTGAAAAAATAACCTAATGACATAAAATATCGGAAGACCAAATTAATCTCACCTGACACGTCATTTACGTTTTTATTTTGTTATTTTTTTCCGTTCTATGTGTAAACAACATACTTTATTAAAACTCAGTGTTTTTATTAGTTAATGTGATGTTTGTAAAGAAAAGCAACTTGGAATCCACATTTCTGAGCCTTTGTCCCTCCCCAGCCTGTGATGTGCACTACGCACTGTTTATAGTGTTCATAATGGGGAGCTCCGGTACTGAATGGTGGGCCGGTCCAGAGGAAAAATTCCAGGGCCGAATTTTGTTCCCAATCTGACCCTGTCCACACAGCCCAATGACTTTCTTTGTATGACAATCTCACGAGATTTTATCCTCTGCCTTTACATTTGAAAATTGCGTATCTTTGAGCAGCTGTAGCCAAAAGACAGACTTGTAGCTCACATATTCAGACAGAGAACACTTTGTCTCAGTTTTTATTTTGTAGTACTAAGACCAATATTGACACAGAACATTAGTGCTAAATTTGGTTTCAAAAGATTGCAAAATAATCTGATCAAATGTACTTGTATTCACCTGCGGACAGCACGGTGAATACATGTACATTACTCCTAAACTTTGTTTGAAAAAGGTCCACAAAGAGATATTTAGGCCTTCTTCATCCATAATAAGTTTAAAGTGAGAAAGAGAGAGAAGCACTCGTATGTCTGTGTCCCTGTGGTAGTGATGGGTACATGAGCCCTCAAGGTGTGTGTAACACATTTCCAACAGTCTGCTGACACAGTGTTTACATTTGTGTTGGTGCGTTCTATAGCACCATTTAGTGGTTTAAAAAATGAACTGCTCCTATGCAGAAGCGTTGACATGGGGACAGATTTGAGTCTCACGCTGTGCTCTACACAAGCAACAGCAGTGTGGGGAAGGAGCTGGAGCAACATGGGAGCAGGTCCAGTTTTAGTCTAATCATTTAAATAATAAAATCTATTAAATAAACTACAGTTACGGAATTCCCTTGTGTGCTGCCATGATTTCCAACCAGGAGGTAAAATGTGAAAACTACCAAATTGGAATAATAAATTGTAAAATGTTTAGTAAAATTGTTAATATAACGATCTTAACTGTGTTTTAGTAAAAATTAGTAGTCTAAACTGAAGGCAAGGATACATTTTAAAATCTGAATCTTTTTATCTTTCAGGAACTCATGTGACACTGGTGTCTCACTCCAGATATGTGGGACACTGTTTAGACGCAGCGGCAGTTTTATCTAAAGAAGGCATCGAGTGTGAAGTAAGTCCAGGCTCAACCTAAGAAAATGTGATGTGTTGGATTAATGAAAATTTTTTTTTTACTTTTTTACTTAAAGCTGCACTATGTAAAGTGGACACATATGCATTCTGAAACTCTTAAACTCTGAACTTTGCATGTAGGAGCTTTCAGACATGAGTCAGAAGCTGTATTGACACAAAACATTTACATTAGGCACACACTGGGAGTGGCATTCAACTGCATGGGGTACGAAACAGTCTGGTAAATATTAGGCATGTGTTTGGACATTTACTCATTTCTAGATCAGCAGCAAAAAGAAAGTAGAGCCTTGCCACCAAGCACCTGTTTTGGTCTGCTACATTAAAGTAAAAATGAAATTTAAAGGTGCATTGTGTAACTTTTCTAGTGGAGGGCCCGCTAAATGCTTCTCTCAATGGGGATGTTATTGCTTTGTCTAGAATGTTTCACACTATGGTATTAAACCTTTCTATCTTCATGTGGACCAAAGCAGACCAAGTTACAGGTCAGATCTGTAGAGAGGCGACCCCACTAACAGTCAGGATGCCTGTTTTTCTAGGCAGTTTTGAGTTCTAAAACCACTTTTAATTAATGTAAGTAGTGCTGTTTAATGTCATACTGTGGAACATTCCAGGCAGAGCAATGGCATATCCATAGAACCAAGCCGTGGACAGATCCTCCACTAGAAAAGTTTCACAGTGCACCTTTAAACTTTTGTCTGTCTGTATTGTTTTAGGTGATCAACATGAGAACGATCCGGCCGATGGACACAGACACCATTGAGGCCAGTGTGATGAAGACCAATCACCTGGTGACGGTGGAGGGGGGCTGGCCACAGTTTGGGGTTGGAGCCGAGATCTGCGCCCGAATCATGGAGGGTGTGTGAAATTAACTGCAATTATTTAAAAACTCTGTACTTGATTTTTACATGTCTTGGGGTGTTTTCACATCGCTAGTTTGATTACTTCCAATGACCAATACTGATGTTCCCTGGAGTATAAGCGCTGAGTTAGGGTAACAGCGATAAAGACACAGGAGCACTCACCGTAGTGCGCAGCTCCTCAGGACGGTGCTGGGGGTCCAGTCCTTGGTCTTGTGCCGTCCTCCGAGCGGGTTGGTCGGGTAGGTCCAGAGGCTCTGTCCTCCATGTGCTGGTTCCAGATGGGGGCACGTAAGACCAGTGTGCATTGGACTGGGTCCAAGTGGGTCCGTGCCATCCTCTACGCAATGGATCTGTGCAGTGAAAGCGAGAATGGGCTGTGGACTGCAGCTGGTTCCGAGGTGGTGCAAAATCTATTTTGGTAAGTTATATGTTGTTCTGAGGGATCTGTCCTCTGCGCAGTTGGTTCTTCTCCAGGATAGCACTTGTCAGGTCAAGGTACCTAACACCACTGCCCACTCCAGCTCATCTGAGCCCGGCCTAAACCGGAGCTGCTCCCGCTGGTTCAAGAGTCTGGTTTGGATCTAGTCTGACTGTAGCACTTCTCTCACTAGGCTAAAAGCAGGGCATTTTTGAAGTTGAATCAGTTAAATCAGCTATTGCCTATTGCCATAAAATTATTTGGTTAATTAATTGCCTAAAATAAAAAATGCTGGTTGCTACGTGAACATGGGGAACACTGGGACCTCTTTGTGCAGGTCCCGGTGTTCGAACATACACACCCTATGGAGCGACACATTTGCACATTGGTACTTGCGCTCATCTTCGTGTATTACATTCTCTATATTGGCCATTGTTGGCGAAATATGCAGTCCAATCGCGGCTGCGTCTGGGCAACAATCTTTTATTGCACTGGAGTCGCCAAAGGCATATAGCGTATCATTTCAGGTGGAGGAGATGCATATCCCCTCCCATAATGCATTTTGAAGAGTTGGTTTGGACCCAAGGGACCACACCGAAGTTTGGCATTTGGTGCGGTGATAAGAGCACATAGACTAATATACGACCATGGACCACTATGGATCCTACCTGGACCACTGAGGGATTACACAGATGTAAGACCACATGGGAATAAAAAAGAAAGTACTACAATGTAATGTTGAAAATCATATTCTACTGTCTAAAGTGCTTTTAAAAAAAAAATATATCATCATGGTTTTGGAATCGTTAGAGTATCTGTTCTATTTTTTAGTATCAACATAGTTTTATATTTTTGTATCATGACAACTCTATGAAGACAGACTTGTCTCCAGTTCATTGGAGAAAAAAAAAATTGGTATATTCAAAAGTCTATATTCTAGGACCTATTTTCTTGTTTTTGTCTCTCAGGTCCCGCCTTTAACTACCTGGACTCCCCTGTGACCCGAGTGACTGGTGTGGACATCCCAATGCCCTATGCCAAGATCCTGGAGGACAACAGCGTGCCCCAGATCAAGGACATCATCTTCTCCGTCAAAAAGACTCTGAACGTTTGAGAAAAAAAAACACCTCAAATCCATTAACGCGGTAAAAAAGCCAAAATGCTTCATAATATTTCAGTCGAATAACGCACAAATGTAATGTTATTGATAAACTATTACTCCCCTCCTTTTGGCAATAAAAAGTTCTTCGATATTGTGGTAAAAGTATTTATTGGGACACTCCAACATTGTACCTTTTTAGCTGTTTTAAGTGCATACGACAGGTTTTTATGTGTTAAAAATTACACATTAGTAGTATGTTGACTTACCAAAATAAAGGCATTCTATATTGTCTAATTGTAAGGTTTTTTATTTATGATTTTAACAAGGGCCAAAACTTGTCTAGACTGTATAAAAAAGTGGACTAAGTGAACGAAAAACAACAAAACAAAAAACACCAGAATCACTAAGACCGAATTAATGAGATCATTTTAAGTCCAAAATGAGAAGCCTGACAGCAGCAGTTACCGAGATATGTGTGATGGGTTTTCAATAGAAAGTGCATTGGAACCAGAGTCGATGGAGTCGTAGGCGCCCCCATGTTCACTTCCTAGTTGGAAGTACACGGCAGCTAGAGGGTTAGCTGTGCCTGTTTATATATACAGTCTGGTTAAAGTCGTGGTTGCTAGGTAACGGTTTATGTTTATCTGCTGCCTGTGTCCAATCAGTCCAACCTGCCGTATGCACTTAGAGCTGGTGATGGTTAAAATTTAAATATTTCAAAGGGGTTTTCTTGTATTTAATGAAAAGTGTACAGAATATTGTTATCGTTGGTAACTCTTAAAATGGAAGCCAGCAGACACAAGCAAAGTTTAAAGGTCCTATATTATGCAAACTTGACTCTTTGTTTGCATCAAGTCATGTTAGAATGATATTCCCTCATCAATTTTGTTTCATTCACATGTGTTTGAGTAATCCTTTAGTCTGTCTACATCTCCAAAGCTCAAAATGCTCCGTTCCACCTTGTGATGTCATGAAGCTTGTGGTTTTGAAGTTAACAGCTACTGTTTACCTTTTAGAGCAGTAGAGACTGTCAATTCCAGGGCTTCACTGTTACCACATGACATCACAAGGTGGATCAGAGTGTTGTCTGTCTGAGAGAATAACTCAGGGTAAATATGCAGGGTTTGTGTGTTTAACATTTGTGAATGAAACAAACCACAACATTATATAACATAGACCAGTGTAATATAGGTCCTTTAAGTTCTGTATGTTTGCTAATAGGTATAAACTACATTATAAGACATTGTAGTTATTTAATTGACTCAAACCATTGGAACTTTTCCTTGGACATGTGGCAAATCTAAATTTTCATTCATTTTCAAGTTTTCATTGCATCTATTCAGTTTGATGTTCAATTCAAACATGTATTATATTGATTTTAACACAGAGATATAAGAAAAAGTTGTTTTAATTATTTTGTGAATGTTTTACAATATTTTAATTTGATTAACTCAGCAAATAATCTGCCTTGTAGTTGTCTGCATTATAATGTAAAATGTTTTTTATACCAGATGCTCTTCCGGTACAACCTCTTACCACTTGTCTAGACTCTATATACTTTTTAAATTGGAAAAAATATCCCTTTTCTGCCAATAAATTGTCTGAACTTTTTGCTAGGGACTCAAAACGGCAATTGCTCAAATTGTGTAAATATCACAAATCACAGTTCTGTTTTGGAGTTCTGTTGTTTTTCTTTCACAGTTTTTTTTTTAAGACAAACTGCGTCCTTGTCTGAAATGCCTTGTGTGCATTTAGCCACAAAACTGACCACATGATAAACCCAGACAGACCCTGTGGGTTATTTATTGAAGTTTCTGCTGTAAACTACTTCCTGTTACAAAATAAAAGTCTGGAAACTATGGCTAGAATTTCTTGAGGTCTATTTACCTTGGACCAGGTAATTTACTCTCGGTTACAGAAACATTCAATAGCCAAGTTGTTTGTAGAATCATCTTAAAAACCAAATGAGAATGAGCCTCACATGAGTCTCTGATTTGGGTTGCCATTTCCAAGGCTGAAATCCAGTTGATTTAACCCTAAAAAGACCAATCATGAACCAGCTAGTGCAGCCTCTGCAGCTCAGGAAGGGAATTCTGGAGGTTCTGAACGTGAGATTTTAGTAACTTTTTTAAAACAAAGATAGCAGGATACAGTTTCTTTAAGCTGTTTTAGATGAGTTTTATTTACTATTTTTATTCAAAATATACAATTTCTTACCTTGATTCATACAATCACTTTACATTAAATAATTTACAATATAAAGCAGTCAATGGTACGTCTATACATTTGGATCAGTACCCAAGTGCTCATGCAGTATCTTTAAGATGCTCACTGACAATTGTGTGTTTATTGGCAGATAATTATTGTTTATTTTCTATTTAACGACAACATTTTGTAGTATTTTCCTCATTCATGAATCATCCATTAATTAAAAGTCCTATATTACACAAAAATTATTTTTGTGAGCTTTAGGCTACGTTGGAAAACATAAAAGGAGATGTGTTTTATTTGATTCACACATGTTTGAGTAACTCTATTATTAGCCTTTCTGCATCTCCAAAGCTCAAAATGCTCTGTTAACAGGTACCCATTAACTTAAGTTCAGTAGAGATTGGCAATTCTAGGACTGAAATCACAATGATTCTAGTGCACGTGTATGGAGTTTAAAAACACAGTGGCACACATTCTGTACTACCACATGACATCACAATGTGGAAGTGGGAGTGTTTCCCGTTTGAGAGAAGAACTCCGCTAACTCCAGGTCTGTTTGTGATGAGGAAACAACATTATAACATAGATCAGAAAACTGCGTAATATGGGCCCTTTAAAACATGTAAATAAATTTACTCTGATACAAAACACTCTGTAATCTGGCACTGATGAATATTCAATCAAATATCTCTAAATTAAGGTTAAATTAGTGAATGTTCTTTGGCTTCAGGATAGGTTTGGTGTTAATACTCTTCAAATATGATACTTTGCATCTTAAGTCATTAACATTCCCTGGGGGTGGAAGCTAACTAAAAGCACTGCTCTGTCTGGACTTGTTACTCAAGTAAGAGTTTATTTGAGCTTTATTTCAAATATTCAATTATTATTTCATATTTTTGTTGAAAGGGTTAGGGTTAGATTGAGCACAGGTTCCTGAAAATGTGTTGTTTAAATCCATTTTATAGTTTTTCTTGAGATTTCAGACAATCTGAGTTGCTAATATATTCATTGTGTCACCATGGTAACAGCTGAACAATGTACCATACAGGCACATGTAGAACACTTCCAGTGTGATGTCACTGCAAAGTATCAATGTATACCCATGAACTGAATGTTTTCTATAAATTAATCTGCTAAACAAGATAAAGGCCCTTTATACTTGTTGATATGGGGTAGAAGAGCTTAATACTGGAATGCGAACTTTCAGCAGTAAAGGATTATGGGTAATGTAGTGAGGTTTATCCGTTAACAATGAGTGAGGAGATGTTCTGAGGCAGAGTGTAGACAGTTAAAACCAGGAAGAGGGTGAGGATGATCAGGATGAGAAGACCAATGATGTACCACTTATAGTTTTTCCAAATCAGGAACACGAAAGTTTTCATTGGATTCAAGAACCATGAAAAACTGGTGGTGGGACGGCTGGGAAGAGAGAGGAAAGAGTAAGGTCTAAACTGGGACTAAACCAGGATTAAACCTGGACTAAACCAGGACTAAAACAGGACTAACTGGAATTGAACCAGGATAAAATCTGGGATGAACCAGCAATAAACCAGGACTAAACCAGGACTAAACGAGAACTAAACCAGGACTAAACATGGATTAAAATTGCAAAGAATTCTCACATACTTTGGTTTGTCCAGAGGTTCTGGTTCTTTCCGGGCTTTTCCGACCGGATTGGCTTCAGCTGCTTCCAGGGTCACCAGCTGCAGCTCTGCCTCCACTTTGCCCTGGATTCACATAAACACTCATAATATTTAGCTGAGAGGTATATTTGTTATTATATATTGTTATTTTTTATTTGTATTATTTATCTGTACATATACATTTATATAATTATGCCTTATTTGACACCAGTCTCTTTTGCTGCTAATTTAGAATGTATTATTACCATTTATATCTTTGTTATTTTAATATATTGTGATGTGTGAGCTACTGTGTCCAATTAATTTCCCTTGTGGATCAATAAGTTTGACTCGTCCTTTGTGTAGAAGCTATTTTATGGAGTAAGAAAGCTGTCAAAAATATTCGAGCGCATAAAATAGAAATCTGTGCGTATTTGGGAAATCCGAGCATATTTGGCTGTAATTGCGCATAAAATAAATATTTGTAAACTCTCAAATGATATGAAATGACGAAATATATTGATGTTTCTTCTGCTCGATGGATAATGTCTGTGAAGTGATGACGTATTTTTGACAGTAAAGTTCCGTCTGTGAATTCGTATTCGTACTGATGAAAGCGTAATCGTAAATTTTCATTTGGTGATTGTAATTCATGACGTCGTAATTTTTCAATTCATATTCTAATGGATAAAATACACACAATATATTTTATGTACGACTGGACTCATTTGAGAGTTTACAAATATTTATTTTATGCGCAACTACAGCCAAAACATCTGCAGCCTTTTACCATCTAAAAAACATAGCAAAAATCAAAGGTTTACTGTCTAAAGCAGACTTGGAGAAACTTATCCATGCGTTTGTCTCCAGTAGGTTAGATACTGTAATGTTCTGCTCACTGGTCTCTCCAAACGAGCTGTGAGACGCTGCAGAACATCCAGAACGCTGCAGCTCGGGTCCTTACTCGAACTAGGAAGTACGAGCACATAAGTCCTGTGCTCAGGTCTCTGCACTGGCTCCTGTGCCTCAGAGAATAGACTTTAAAGCAGCTCTGCTTGTGTACAAGTCTCTCCATGGCCGAGCACCAAAGTCCATCTGTGACATGTTAGTGTCATACGAACCATCTCGCACTCTGAGGAGTCAGGGCCCGGCCTCCTGCTGGTGCCCAGAGTCACGACTAAACAAGGGGAGTCAGCGTTTCAGGTTCATGCAGCTAAAACCTGGAACAGTCTGAACATGTGAGACAGACTCTTCTGTGACGCTGTTTAAATCCAGACTCAAAACATTTCTGTTTAACTGTGCATATAACTGAAAGGTTTTTCATTCCGCACTCTTCTCTCCAATTTATGTCTCTCTTTTTTAATTTTAATCTTCATGATTATTTATGTTTTGATTTGTTTTTATTATGATTTTAATGTATTTCTTATTCTGTAAAGCACTTTGAATTACTTTGTGTACGAATTGTGCTGTACAAATAAACTTGCCTTGCCAAATACGCACGGATTTTTATGCGCACAAATATTTTTGACAGCTTTCTTACTCCATACTATTTGCTTATTTTGTTTATTCTAAAATTAGTTTTTTATATTTTTGTTTGGGTTAATGTGCATATCTTAATATATTTTTGCTATGGTAATATTTCTTCTTATATTTGCTTATTCCTTTGTTTAATCTAATTTGCTATTATTTATCTTAGCACCATTTCTATTTTTGGTTTAGTCTGTGGGGCACTTAAGGGATAAAGGTGGGTGGTTCAGCAAGACCAGAGTGCACCTGGGGGGGGGGGGGGTTCCAGTCGGCAGGAGAGACAACAAGTGTAGACCTTGATCATGTAATATTGTTGTTTGCCTGCAAAACTTAGAGTAAATCTTGGAAAATGCATCTCTGGACCTGGACACTGAGTTTGTTGTATTATACTGTGTAGACCACAGACCAATGGTGCCCAAAGGTGATTATATAAATTATGTCTAGTCTTAAGTTTGCTCACCACTTTTGTTTGTTAGCTTTCGTTTTCAATACATGCATCCCAAATTTCGGACTTCCGGTCATCGCACAATGCATACTGGGAAGGGTCCTCCGAAAAAGTGAGCATCAAACCGCCATGTTTGTTTTCGCAGTGGGATGCGTCTAATGTCAAAGTTGATCTTTTCAAGTCTTTTGAACCATATCTTCTGACATTGTCATATTTTAGTTTTGGGATTTGGACATCGTACTTCTGTGGTTGTTGAATGTCCTAATTGCGGAAAGCGGTTTGAGAAATGGGCTTCAGAAGTTTACTAACTCCATAAATGCAAAAGGGAATCAGATGTGTGTGACTGCAAACGTCTGTCCAAATTGTTTCCCTTCCCAGTGGAATTGAAAAAAATAGTGAAAGGTGAAGGCGATGGGCAGGATTGATACACAGGAAGGATGAAAAAGGAAACCTTTGGGTGCCTAAGAAATCATCCCGTGTTTGCAGCCAACATTTTGTATGTGGAGCGACAACAAAGCAAAATCCAGTTTGTTAAGCGAGAGATACAGAAGACAAACAGACTGAGCTGCACTTTCTTGTTCTTGTGGTTTTACAGCAACATGACGTCTTGGTCATTTTGCAGTGAAAGGTGTTTCTTGGTGAACAGCTGGTGCCTTTCACTTTGGTGTTGACTTTTTAAATTCGTAACCCAGGTTGAGCGAGGGATCGAGATTTTGCTTTGCTGGCGCCTTTCTTCCTGTGTATCAATCCTGCCCATCGCCTTCACCTTTCACTATTTTTCTATTCCGTTGGGAAAGGAAACAGTTTTCACAGAGGTTTGCAGTCACACACATCTGATTCCCTTTTGCATTTATTGAGTTAGCAAACTTCTGAAGCCCATTTCTCAAGCCGTTTTCCACTGTTAGGACAGCTAACAATCACACAATTACGATGTCCGAATCCCACAACTAAAATATGACAATATCAGAACCAGAAACAAAAGCGATATGGTTTGAAAGACTTAAAAAGATTGGCTTTGACAATAGACAATTCCACTGGGAGATCAAACATGGTGTTTCACACTCACTTTTTCGGAGGGCCCTTCCCAGTATGCACTGAGCGATGACCGGAAGTCTGAAATTCAGGATGTATAGTCACTACACCTACTCCCTACCATCAGTATATGTGTGGCTCCATTGGCGTCGATAAACTGGAGGTCCTCAGCTTTGATTTTGCTGCGTCTGTCTTTCTTGTTCTCCTTTTTCTTCTTGGACGCTCGCTCTTTCTCTTCTCTCTCAAAGTCCTCTGCAGTTTTGAGTCGCGTCAGAGGCCACCAGCCCTTCAGCTTTCTGCTCCTGAAGATGGAAACCCGCGGCGACGCTCGGTCCTTCGTCATTTTCACAGAACAATTGGATGTGGATCGGGCCGGACGCACCATGTCGTAGAGAGGCAACTCAATGGAACCTGTGAAAAATGAATGGCTCAAGATTAAAGAATATAGTATGTGTAAGGGCTAAACCAGGACTAAACCAGGGCTAAACCAGAATTAAACCAGGACTAAACCAGGGCTAAACCAGGGCTAAACCAGGACTAAACCAGGAACTAAACCAGGATGAAACCAGGACTAAACCAGGGCTAAACCAGGAACTAAACCAGGACTAAACCAGGACGAAACAAGGTTTAAATCAGGATGAAACCAGGAATAAACCAGGAATAAACCAGGGCTAAACTAGGTCTAAACCAAGACTAAACCAGGGCTAAACCAGGATTAAAACAGCCATAAACCAGGACTAAACTAGGATTAAACCAGGACTACACTAAACTAGGAATAAACTAAACTAGGAGCATGTGTGTAGAGTTTTGTCCACTGATCTGAAGGGTGGTGGTTTGAATCCTGATCTCGATGTAATAACCATCATTGGTTGAGTGGACAGATCCACTGACCCAAAGGTTGGTGGTGTGATTCCAGCTCCCACAAATGAATGCTGTCATTGTGTCCTTGGGCAAGACACTTAACCCACCTTGCCCCCAGTGTCTGCGTACACTGGTGTATGAGTGTGTGTGAATAGGTGAGTGGGTCCTTGATGTAAAAAGCACATTGAATGTGTTGAAGGTGGAAAAAAACAACATAAAAAGTGACCATTTACCATTTACTCGGATTGCATGCTGTTGGAATAAATAAATCAAACCTTTATTCTGACATATTCTGATTATTTACCGAGGAAATCATTGGGGAGGATGCGGTCATAGTCCCAGACCTGCAGCGTGAGCACAGCCGGCTGACGAAACTCCGACGCCTCCAAAGAGAAAATGGACTCCTTTTTCTTATACACCACTTCTTTCTGTAATACATTCAATATAGTTCATTGTATATATTACCAATTGCATTGTTTTAAATCAAATCCACAATTAATCACCTCTTTGAGGTAACAAGTAGCCTATTTGTCTGTGTTATCAGTCATCCAGGAAAAAGAAATCTGTTACTGGACAAAAGTTTTCTCTTAAAATCTTTTGTTCAGTAACAGAATAATTTTGTTTTGCAGCAGTAGCCTGACAGCCTGTGTTGACTCAAGGATCTCAAGAGACATTCAGGAAGGACATTGCAGCGTTCTATAGGCCACTAACTAAAATGAATGCTGTTAAAATGCAGATTTTGTTGTGACACAGTGAGTTCTTAGGTCTAGTCAATAATAGAAATTATCAGGTTCCACATTTGTGCATTTGAATGTTGGATATTTCATAACATAGAAAAATCTAATCAATACAGAAACAAAACTAAGATTAAAGTCTAACTTGAGTAACAGAGCTTCAGACAGAGTAGTGCTTTCAGTTAGCATCACACCCACAGGGATTGTTGATGACATCAGCTGCAAAGTATCAATATTTTTAGATTGTTTCTTCAAATAAAATATCACTCTTGTACCATATTGATTTATTTTTTACATTAAACAAACAGTAGATAGACATTTACTATTTATATGTACTTAATAGTTTTTTCCCCTCAACTAACTAATGTTGAATGTACCTCGGTGGGCAGGTAGTCGAAGCGAAACACAAATCTCCAGTTGAAGTTGCCCTCTCCGGTCAAAGAGTTAAAATGGACGTCTGTCTCCTGCTTCTCTCCCTCCAGACCTTTAATCCACCTGCAACAAGATTCAATGGAAATTTATTATTGAAGGTCCAATATTACACAAAGCTGACTCTTGCGAGCTTTAAGCCATATTATACTATTACCTCCTCAAAAACAGACCTTTTATTTCATTCACAGATATTTGAGTAACACTTTATTATTAGTCTGTCTACATCTCCAAAGCTCAAAATGCTCCGAAATCATGTTATTTTCAACTTAACAGCTAATGTTTATCTTTTGTTCAGGAGATATCGGCAATTCCAGGTCTGAAATCATCCACATGAATCTAGTGAAGGTATGTGAAGTTTAAAAATACAGTGGAGCTCTTCCTGTACCACATGACATCACAAGATACATTACCAGTCACTGTAGGTTTGTATGCTCAGCTCTTACTGACAAAACATATATAAAGGAATCAGACAAAGAAGTTAACTGGAGACGTCTCAAAATCATCTACATTGGAGTGTGGCACGTTCAGGGCCTAACAGTTCTAGTCTTTGTGGTGCATTCAGGGACCTACCCTTTGACGTAAATGTCAGATGAGGGTTCTCCGGTGAAAGGGTTTACATCGTCCAAAAACACATCGTCTGTATTCCAGATGATCACACGCAGCTCGTATCTTCCAAAAAAATACAGGGTTTAATGTTTGGAATAAACTAGAAATACATCTTTATAAATAGTTTTTATTTTTATTATTCTAACTTTGTCAGAGCCCAAAATAACAATTGTGAAATCATCTTTTTTATATAGGCTGAACTCTAGTCAAAATTAAAACTAAACCAACATAAACTTAAGTCTTAATCCAGTTCCAAACCGGTTCTAAAGTACTAATCCTGGACTGACACTTTGCGGTGACCACACACTGGAGAAGAGGGGGTGCTTCTACATGTATGTTATGTATGCTGCATGTTCAGAAGTTACCATGGAGACACAATGCACACATTAGCAAATATGGCCAGAAAAGTTTGAAAATAGTTTGTAAACTCAAGAAAAAAAACAAAACAAGGGAACCCAGGGAATGTTGACGACATCAGCTGCAAAGTATCAATAAGTGAATATAAGCGTATGTAATGTCACGTACTGCACTGGGAGGCGGGGCTTGATGTTGACTGGGGGCGGAGCTGGGACGTCTGTGGGAAACATGTCGACCCACATGTGAAGGAACCCCTGCAGACAAAAACAAAAAAACTAAATCAGGCGCACTATGTAACTGGAAAAGGATTCATCAACTACTTGTCTCCATGGAGATGTGAAAGATTTGTCTGGAGTATTCCACAGTTCAGCATTAACTTAGCTTTCCATGATGATAAGCAGGCGATAAGCCACTGGGCCAAGTTACAGGTCAGATAAGAACACATGTTTTTCTAAGATATTTTTGACCAATAAAACACCTGTTGGATTTCAAGATATACAAATATAATGTCATACTGTGGCACATTCCAGGCAAAGCAATAGCATCCCCATGACTGTACATTATCTTTAAAAAATTTATTTAAACTTTTAAAAGAATAAGTTTGATGAAAAAAAAATGCATTATTTACATAAATTTGATTAAAATATTTTAACTAAATAGATTAAACTGGGTAAGATGAGAAACTATTGATACTTTGCAGTGACATCCTATTGGGGGTGCTCTACTTGTATAGGGGTGACCAGATTTTCAAAATTTCTAAACTAGGCCACACCCGGGTTGGGATGGTTGGTATAAATAATATTGTGAAAAGATTGTGTAACATTGTGCATTCTCGTGTAATTCATAATCTGAGGGACTTCTGTTGCTGAAAGATTTTTTGCTTTAGGGTCATTCGCAAACAAACAAGATTAAGATAAGATTTAAGAAGTCTAACTTGAGTAGCAGAACCTTAGACAGAGCAACATCAGCTGCAAAGTATCAATAACGTGAAATATAAATGTGACTAAATGTAACCAGGATAATAAAAGACAGATTTAGACCTGGGGTAATCCTGGTTTATCGGAGTTCACTAGAGGTCTTATTTCGACGTGCTCCGGGACCAGGGGGACCGCTCCAGGGATGAACTCGCTCATCTGGGCCCAGTGATGGAGCACGTCCAGGGCCATGTGCTCCTCCAGCTCTGCCCTCTGGACCTCCGAAAGCTGGTTCTGCTTCACGAGGGCTGCACACAAAGACAGAGAGTATTAGATTAAAGACCGGAAAGCAGGATTAAACCAGGACTAAATCAAGACTGAGCCAGGATTGAACTGGAATTAAACCAAGACAGAACTGAGCCAGAATTAAACCAGAACTGAATAAAGATAGAATCAAGACAGAACCAGGACTGAACCAGGACTAAACCAGAACTAAACCAGGACTAAACCAGCACTGATCTAGGGCTAAACCAGGTCTAAACCAAGACTGAGACAAGATTAAACCAGAACTAAATCAAGGCAGAACTAGGACTGAACCAGGACTGAACCAAGAGAGAAAACCACAGACGGGACCATGAACCAAACCAAGACTAGACCGAGGGCTAGACCAAGTAACTGATCTAAAGCAGAGCTAAATCAGGACTAAACCAGGATTAGACCAGGACAAGACCAAAGGGGCTGAAACTATGACGAATGTACACCTAAACTATAACCATGTCTGATGTCTATGTCTAAAGAATAATTTAGGAATAAAGCATATGGAGATAAAATTTTAGAATAAATTGTTGTTCAAACCAAGGTCTAAAGTGGGTCTAAACCAAGCCTAAACCGGGTCTAAACCAGGTCTTACCCTCGGGGATGGCGTCTGGGGGTATTTTGAAGATCTTGTTGAGGACTTTGACTTCGTTGGCCCTGAACTCTGGGTCTGGTATGTTGTATTTCTGACAGAGCTCAGTTAAAATGGTGGTGGGTTTCTTTGCATCCCGCCACATGTTGTACCCTTCTCTGAAAAACAAACGTGATTTTTTTTTAAACTTTATTTATTTATTCAGCCATGCGTTAATTACATTATTTATTTGGCTTGTAGGCCTTATTGTACAGTTCAGTTAATGTCATGAAGAGTGTTTTTTCATATTTATGTTTATTTTTTTAAGTATGGGACAGTGCACATTAATTAAGACGTGATAGTATAGCATGTAAATGTGCCACGCAGGCTCATTTTACCTCTATTGTCCCATTGGCAGGTTGTATACAAGACAGGCACAAAACATTCAGTCCTTACACATGACAAGACATTAAAGATCAGTGAAATGCAAAATGTGTCATATTAGTAAAATTAGAACACAATAAAAGCACACACAGTACACAGATTAAACACAATAGACAAAAATCTCTCAACAACAGATCTACTAAAGCTCTTATCTTTTATTACAGATATATATTGGGTTAACCATAACCATGGCCAAAATAACTGCGATTAACGATTACATCACGATAAATATTAAATTTGCTGACAGTTTTAAAATGTTATGGATATGAATAATTATAATTTGAATGTAATGAATAGGTTCCATATTAAACTGCTGTAGTATTATACTTTGTTAAAGATGAAAACAACAATGACGTAGTAGAGATCATTATGGATAAGTATTATAGTAGTAGTAGTAGTATAAGTAATTTCTGCACATTCTGTTGATACAATGGAGATTTCTTAAACGATCTTATTGTTTATTGTCCCATGCTTACATGCTACCTCAAGTTATTAAAAATAAAAACTTCTCCTGCTTCTTACGTGTCATAGTACAGGGGCAGTCCACAGCTTGCCCGGTGACGGCTGTAAAAGCGGTTTTCCAGATCCACGTGAGTTTCACCGATGACATCATCCGCGCCAACCATATCATGGTCCAGAATTTTCACCAGGAGCTCAGTCTCCAATGGAAATGAGGCCGTAAACTCAAAAACCCTGGAATGGACAAGATCTACTCAGCCAAACCAGGACTAAACCAGGATTAAAAATGAACTGAAAGAGGACTAAACCAAACTAAATAAATATGGACTAAACCAGGGATAAAACCAGGGCAAAACCAGGACAAAACCATGGTTAAAGTAGGAACTAAGCCAGGACTAAACAAGGTCTAAACAAGGTCTAAACCAGAGCTAAATCAGGACACAACCAAGGAGTAAACGAGGACACAACGTGGACTAAACCAAGATTAAACATTAACTGAAACAGGACTAAACCAGAAATAATAGTGATGGTACTGACTCTCCAAAGACGGGGTTGAGTTGTTTGGGGATGTAACGGTCCTTTGTGTCCTGACTCTGGGTCCCAACCTGGAGCAGGAGGTAGGGGTCTGCTTTTCCATTCGGGTCAGTGGGTGAGAGACTGGAGGCCTGAGCACAGAAAGAGCAGTGAGAGAGGGAGCTTTTATTTTGAAAGAGCAATGACGGGACGGGGGGGGGTTAATCTGAGAACCTTCCATTTAAAACCTGTATTAAAGGTTGTATGGAGGATTTTTTTTGTTTCAAATTGTCAATGATAGCATTATAGAGATGCAGTAGCCTTGTAATTATGATGACCAAAAAAAAGAGAATCAAAATTCATCAACTCTGGACGTGGTGGGGCTAAACATTTGCCAATAGATAACGACACTGCCTCGTTATCTGTTAGCTGACAGGCTGTCAATCAAACTCCCTACGTTTCTAGCGTAACTGACTTGCCTGCGCGCTGCCATTACACGGTTTAGGTACGCCTGTCACGCAGTCCACAGACGCAAGCCGCACAGACGCTGTTTACTCCACCAACGCAACAGTTCTTAGCGGCTTTTTTTTACCTATATCTTCCTCGCAGTTAGCACAAAGTTTGTTGCAATGGCAGACAAGAATCCAGGAGCAGTTAGCCGCAAAAGAAAGTCCGTTTTTGAGATTGCTGAAAGAAGAAGACAAGGGGAAAAGCAGCGAAGCCAAACTAAGGTGATTCTTGAAGATTCATTCCAGCGATGGCGCGACTGAAGCAGACGCAGGGTCTAAAGACTGACGCATTGGTCGCCAAATTACTCCTGGACAGGTCACTTCTGCTTATTATGAAAACGTACTTTATTTCCAAGAGCTCGACAAACATCTTTCAGGACACGAAAGCGATATCCTATGTCTGAAAATGTAATTTTCAAGGCAAAGAAAGAGTCCGCTTGCTGCTGCGTGTTGTAGCTAGTTCATTCGCACTGAATCTCCGTGCAACCTTCTCTGCTCCCCTTTCCTGCTCCTCTCCCCGCTGCTCGTTCCGCTCTTTCCCCTGCTCCTCACTTCTCCGGGCACGGAATCTCCGCGCACCGCTCCCCTCTCCCCTCTCCTCTCCCCTGCTCCCTGCTCCGCTCTTCTCCCTGCTCCTCACTTCTCGTCCGCGCACGAAATGTCCGCACACCCGCTCCCCCCGCTCCTCACTTCTCCGTCTTGCCTAACCAACACTGTAGTTAGTTGTTTACAAGTCATGTGCAGCACCGGCTGTAAACAAACCTGTTTCTGGCGTAAGGAGGAGGCGGGAGGAGGTGTTTCTACGTAGGGAGCTGTAGGGGGGGGGGGTGGTTTCACGCATGCGCAACATTTGAAAAAGGACAAACAGTCGCTGGATTTCTCGTTCCTTGGAAAATCCTCTATACAACCTTTAAGATGATGAACTTAAATCTACTAGTTAATCATAAATGTATAGAAATAGCTCCTACAGAAATATTTTGTATAAATGACTAGATTGCATTATGTTAGAGTGTGAGTACCTTAATGATGTAAACTCGGACCAGGACTTTGATGGGGGAGTTTTTGGGGATGCCTTCTGTAATCTGCACTGGGCTGTCTGCCTCCGGGTCGATCGGGTACACCAGGAACGAGCCCTGAACAAAATCACACGAAAATCACACAGATATCACAAAAAAATAAAAAAAAAAAAAATAAATAAAAAAAATCACATCATCAAATATCTTTATCATATTCCATTGTTGTAATATGGTCCTTGCTAGTGAACCAGTTTTTGACCAGTATGTATGTGACAATAGCAATAAATCATCACTTAACAGCCAGGAATAAAATAAGGTATTTTTGCATTTTTGGATTTTGATTTTCATGCCATCCCACTAAAATAAACGTCTGATACTTACAAAATGCTCAGGTTTCATATGTTTTGATTTTAGGAAGGAATTAAAACCAAAAGTATCCGATTTACCCAAGCAATACCATAATTGGTCAAATAATTGTAGAACAGCATGAAATGAAATAATGTGAAGCAATAGAAAAGTTAACATTTAAAACAAATCACTCCTGTGTGTGTAAAATAAAACATCATCATCAAGAATACATGGCATATATAATATTTTGAAAAATAAAAACAATAAAAAAGTCTTATTTCGATACACCGTGAAAACATCTGAAGCCAACATCAAGTACCAGTGATTTTAGATTGGAACCAAATAAAATAAAAATAAGACAAGCATATCCACATAAACCAGGACCCACCTTGAACTTCCCCATGATGCGTTCCACTGGCTCCTCCTCCAGAGAGTCCCCGAGAGCTCGGCCTTTAAGCAGGGGCAGAATCTGCAGCCAGTCCTGGAACTGATGGAACTGAGCCTCTAACTCACCACTGTACAACTGCCATACAGAAACATAAACAGAGCAGTCAGCATACTACTACAAATACTACTATAATCATTACTACTGCTGTTACTACAACTCAGCACTGTACAACTGCCATACAGAGACACAAACAGAACACTCAGCATACTACGACTGAGTACTCATTCAGTATTACTACTGATATGCCTACTAGTACAAACACTATTACTGCTACTGATACTACTACCACAACTTACCAATGTACAACTGTAGACATAAAAAGAAGAGACACACTGTTACTTAGGGATGCACCGATCCGATACTGGTATCAGATATTGGCGCCGATCCAGAAAAATTTGCTGGATCAGATATTGGTTGGACATATAAATCTATATTTATAAATATAAATATAATAAGACTATTTTCTGGTCATAGTTAGCAGAGAAAGTCTCATAATGTTTGAACTTCTATTAATGCAAAGTTGCAGTGACTTGATTAAATAATAACAATAAAATAACAGCTCCATAGCACATATGGATCTGTTTTATTTTTGTTGGTATAGGCTTTAAACTATAGTATCAAAGATGGAACTGAAAACGATGGATCAATGCAGGCCTACTACTACTACTACTACTACTACTACTAATACTAATACTAATACTACTACTACTTTTAACCATTATTTAGAAAAATAAAAAATGATTTAGAAAAATAATTCTGACCGTGAGAGTGGCAATGTTCTTTCTCTTTGGAGGTTCTGTTTCTACCACCACCATCTCCTCCTCCTCGTCTTCAATGTTAGCCATGGTCAAATTGACCCCATCTGAAAAAGTAGGGGTTGAAAATCAAGAATCAGATCAAATACTAGTCGATACTAAAAATAGTATTGACAGTAGATACTCATTTGAGCAGGTATCAATAGTAAAAAGTCACATTCACAGGACATTAACCTTTTCCTGAATAGCGTTATAATGATCTTGAGCTGTATCAGAACATAAGAGACTACAGATAAACAATACAGTTTCATCTGTGTCCACTAGAGGCCACTGCAGCTTGCTCACCTGTCTCTGCTTGTTCCTCCAGTTCTCTCTGAGATTCAGCCTACAAAAATAAAATGCATTGCTTTCAAGATATGATAAGATAAACCTTTATTGTCTCCAATGAGAGAAATTTGTCTTGGGACAGGGGATCACATGCCTTATCACAAAGACAGGACAAGAAAGCAAAATACAAACATCCACCATAGAACATAAATAAATAAAAGACCATGTATGACTATGAGTGATACACCAACAGGACCTTTAAGTCACTCTTTACAGGCAAGCCCTTCAAAATAAAGGATAAAGTACTGTTTTAGAAAACATTCATTCAAGATGTCAGGCCAATTTTGCTTCTTTGTCTTGTCTTGGTTATGATGCCATATGATTTTTGGGGAGTTTACTACTAAATTAAAATATCTGTGTAGATACAGTCTGTGGTAGACACCAGGTAGGATCCATAGCAGAAGATTCTGTCAACTGGACAAAGGTTTGGATGAGCTGAGAAATGTTTTCACTGAAACTTTTGTTCAGCTGACAGAGCTGAAATCTTTCTTTTGCTTCTAAATTTAAACATATCATAAATGTACATTTTGTTCATTGTCAATTGCAGTATTAAATAAAACATGTCATGCTTGGTTCCATTGAAGTCCTTCATGGAGGCATTTCACCGTAGCAAACAGCAGATTTTCAATCATCCATTTTATGGTTGAAGCATGGCTTTGTGATGTGTCTGAACCCTATGTATGACCCAGAGTATGACTATTTTGAATAATCACAACTAAGTCCAGAGCAGTGGGTGGAGAAAGGGGGTAGATGAAAACTGGGCATTTCTGAGATCTTCAGCCTCAATAATAGGAAAATAAAAATGTATGAATCAATCAAGATGCATCATGGCTAAGCTAATGATGAAGGTTAGCCAAAAAAGCCAATTCTACACAATATGCCCTGCTATTTACTCTTGGCTCCTAACACATTTGCCATTTGTTCAGTAGAGATTGAAATTAAATGGATCTAGTGAAATTGTATGGAGTAAAAAACACAGTGGAGAACTCCTTTACTCCATGACATCAGAAGGTGGAGCAGAATGTTTTCAGTTTGAGAAGAGAACTCAGCCTAAATATGCAGGGTTTGTGTGTTAAACGTGTGAATGAAACAAAACACAACTCCAGGAAAACAACATAATATGGACCCTTTAAATTGTGGTTTTGTCCTGATATTACTTGTTTTTCGGACGTCAAATGTGCCTTTCCCATATAGGAACTGTATAGATGTGGTTGTATCGATTACCTCTCTGTCCCTTTCTTGTAATGAGGTGTAGTATTTGGACCACCAGTCGAGCTCCTCTGGCTCCACTGGCTCCTCTTCCAACTCTTCCTCCTTTAGAAGTCTGCTGGACACCACCTTCAGAGGGTTCTGAGGGGCAAGAAATGTTATGGGGAGAGTGTGGTCCTGGTTCAGTCTTGGTTTTAATTCAGATTTTATTATGTTTAGTCTTGGTTTAGTCTTGGTTTAGTCCTGGTTTAGTCCTTGTTTAGTCCTGGTTTAGTCCTGGTTTAGTCCTGGTTTAGTTCTGATTTAGTCCAGATTTAGTCCTCATTTAATCTACCTTTAGTCCTCCTTTAGTCATGATTTGGTCTTGGTTTAGTCCTGGTTTAGCCCCAGTTCAATCCTAGTTTAGCCCCGTTTTAGTCCAAGTTAAATTCTAGTTTAGTTCTGGTTTAATCCTGGTGTATTCCTGGTTTAGACTTGGTTTAGTCCTCCTTTAGTCCTGATTTGGCCTTAGTTTAGTTCTGATTTAGCCTTAATCTAGCCCTAGTTAAATCCTGGTTTAGTCCTAGTTTATTTCTGGTTTAATCCTGATTTAGTCCCACTTTGGTCCTGCTTTAGTCTGGGTAGTACCTTGATTGGGATCTTGCTCTGTTTGAGGTTGAGAGAGCTCAGTCCCAAGTTTCCCACAGTGTCCACAGGAGCCACCTTCACCTCCTTCTGCACAACTGAACAAAAGAACCAGACATCACACAGAAGGAATAAGTTTTTGTACTCTCTTGGATTTTATGATATGATTAGAATCCAGATTGACTTCAGATACAAAATGACTAACTTTGATCATTATATTTAAAGGGCCTGTATTACACTATTTTCTGGTCTATGTTATAATGTTGTTTCCCCATCACAAACATACATACAGTTGTGTAAAAGGTAAAAGGTAGCTGCTAACTTGAAAACTACCTACATGACATCACAAGGTGGATTACTGCATTTTCAGCTTTAGGGGCTGATAATAAAGCATTACTCAAACATGTGTGATTTTTAATTTTTGATGAACAACATTCTAACATGTCTTAACGCTCACAAGAGTCAACTTTGATATTAGTGCTTTGCATGTAATGTTCCACAGTGTGGCATTAAGCTGATGTATCTCCACCAAGACAAGTTAGAAGTCTGTGGAGAGGTTACCAGTAAGAATACATGTTTTTGTGAGAATGAACATGTGTAAAAAATGCAAGCTAGAGAAGTGTACTCTAAATTCCATGTCACTCTATGTCAAGCTATGGAATATTCCAGGCAAAGCAATAAAATCTCCATGGAGACAAGAAGGGGCCAGACCCTCCACCAGAAAAGTTACATAATGCTATTTTTACCTTCTAAATAAAAATGTGACAAATTGTGTAGCATGCAAAATTTATTATTAAGTATAATGTTCACACTACTCCTAAAATATATTGATTTTTAGTGGACGTTACCTTTTTGTATAGGCCCCTCCTCCTCTTGGTCTGACTCCGCCCCCAGCTCCTTTGGGCCATAGGACATCAGGCTGTGGACCACATGGGACCCCACCAAGACCAACCTCCCAAACGCCCTCCGCTCCACCACGAACAGGGTCAGGGGCGGGTGCAGGTAGACCTGCTCTGGAAGCTCCTATCACACAGGGAGAGACCGGGATCAGACCTGGTTAAGTCCAGGTTAGACCTGACTTAGACCTGGTTTAGACCTGATTTAGGCCCCATTTTAAGCCCTGTTCAGTCCTGGTTTAGATCTACATTAGATTAGGTCCAGTTCAGTCCCGGTTTGGGCCTTACCACATCCAGGTATCGCACCACATCCTTGAAGTTTGACTGGCTCTTGTAATCTTCGATCTCCTCTGACTCAAGCGTTTTTCCTGAACACTCCACTCTCACCAGGGGGCGCTCTATTTCAAAAAGCTGCACCCTCTTCAGGTCCCGAAGGCCCCAGAACAAGACCTGAATGTAGAAGAGAAAAGAAGAAGGCTTCAGTAATGATTTTAATGTTACATAATATAGTTGATGTTTCAAGCCTATGTTTAAAGGTCCTATATTACACAAAATTAACTCTTATGAGCTTTACGGCATGTTAGAATGTTCTCATCAAAAACATATCTGGAGTTGTGTTTTGTTTCATACACATATCTTTGAGTAACCCTGCATCACTACTGTCTACATCTCCAAAGCTTAAAATGCTCTGTTCCACCTTGTGATGTCATGAAGCAGTAGTTTCTAATTAACAGCTAATTTTATCTTTAGATCAGTAGAGATTGTAAATTCCTGGGCTGAAAATTATCCAGATGTTTCTAGTGAAGGTGTATGGCATTTAAAAACACAGTGGAACCACACATGGAATCACAAGGTGGAACAGAGCGTTTTCAGTTTGAGAGAAGAACTCAGCCTAAATATGCAAGGTTTGTGTGTTAAACCCATGTGAATGGAACAAAACACAACTCCAAATATGTTTTGATAAAGCATTATAGCAAAGATTAGAAAATAGTTATAATTTAATACTGTCAAATTGTTCTATTATTAACAATCAGATTTATAAGAACATCTTATATTGATTCCTCCTGATCTTTACCTCAATCCTAAACGTTTTGAGCACAGGTCTCACTCCTTCTGGGATCAGGAAGGTGCGGTCCTCGGCCTCCTCCAACTCCTGAGGGTCCAGACTTCGAGGGAGACGGGGCTAGAGAGAGTCATGTGATCAGTACAGAGGGGCAACAATTTTACAGTCTATGAGGGTGAAGCAAGCCCACTCACAAACACAAAGCATATTTTTTCACGATATTTTTAGTTACATTTTTTGCAATAAAAACATACAGTAATAGAATAAATGTGTGACGGCTGCTGCAGCTCTGTACCTCCCCCGGTGCAGAGTAATCAAACTCGATGAGTTCAAACGCAGCAAGCAGTTCTCCGGCCGAAACTTTTCCCAGAGAAATGTCGTAAAACTTCAGCTGAGGTTTAGAGTACAGCTCCTCCACACGTTTGATCTGCGGCTCTGCATAGGCCCGACCCAGAGACCGCGGAGTGCCCTTGAACACAACACAGAACAGATCAGAGGGTTAGTAAGGCCTTTGAATGCATCACAAAACAGATCAGAGGGTTAGTAAGCTCCTTGAATGCAGCACATGAGTTAATATGGATTCTTCTGGCGAGATTTTTACTATTTTCTACTAAAAATTATTTAGTTTCTCCAAGGACACATTTTTGGAGCATGGTTTGTTGAGAACTGGAACATTATAGTGTTTTGTTAACAGGGATATTGATACTTTGCAGCTGATGTCATCAGCCTGGGGGTGTGAAGCTAACTGAAAGCACTACTTTGCCTGAAGCTCTTTTACTCAAATTAGACTAAAGGCTTTTTTGTCTGTGTTTGCAAATGTGCGCATTGTGTCACCATAGTAACTGCTAAACATTCAACTGGTTCGCCTATATTCAGCCTCACATTTTATTGTGTCCGGTTATGTATTTTAGCGTGTGAGTGTGAGTGTGTGTGTGTGTGTGCATGTTTGTGTGTATGTGAGTGTGTGTGTTTGGGTTGTTTGACTATGTGGGGTTGGGGGTGCGGGGGTTGGGTTGGTGGGTTGGTGGGTGGGTGGTTGGAAATGCGGGACTGTTTTTAATCACTGTAAAGCACTTTGTGTTGCATTTTGTATGAAAAGTGCTTTATAAATAAAGTTTGATTTGATTTGATTTGATTCCACCGACATAGATACATGTAGAAACCCCTTCTTCCCAGGCGTGATGTTACTGCAAAGAGTCAATAGAACAGGCAGCGTAACAGGGTTACCAATTCACTCTGCAAAACCAGTGGCAGTGTACATAGACATAAATACAATGAGAATTACAGTTTAGGTTAACTATAATTGTTCATGATTGTGTAAACAGGAAGCTTTACCATGGCGTCCTGGTCGTAAATGTTGATGATGACAAGGGGTGGGTCTAGCTCCAGTTCTTCTCTGGATCCCTCCAATAAAACTCTGTCAAAGAGTAAACACTGGGTCCAGGCCGGAGACAACGTGTCCTGCAGCACCTAAACGCACCACAATATTAAACTAAAACCCTCTGAACATGTCACAGCATTTAAATGCAAACACTTGAAATTAAATCTAAGTGATATAAGCTCACTGTCCAAACATCACATTAAAATACTTCGGTAAAACTCAGAAATAATGATGTCCTTTGCACTATGTAACTTTTTGGTTGGGGTCAATTTATTCATTTACAGGTAGTTTTATATTCAAAAATACCTAGAAAAACAGGCATTCTGACTGTAAGCGGGGTCGCCTCTTTACAGATCTGACCTGTAACTTGGTCTGGTTTGGTCTCTGTGAAGATAGAAAGGTTTAATACCATACTTTGAAACATTCCAAATAAAGCAATAACATCTCCATTGAGACGTCCACTAGAAAAGCTACACAATGCACCTTTAAGTGTAAGGAGCATTATAATGTCTGTGTCAGGGGAGCCCAAACTTTTTAATCGATGGACCAAAATAGCGTGCTGAGGGCCAAACTTATTCATGTTATTCAGATTAAAAAAAAAAAATTGTCTGCAAATGTTTATGATTAAATTGTGTCTAATTATTCTCCTTTTTAGTAGGATTAATTGGGTTAATGTTACATCCAATATTCACAAGACATTTTGTGTTAAAAAGCAGAAGTCCTGTGACCCAAATGTTGGCCGTTACCTTGGTGACCTGACACTGGGTGGAGAACAGCACTTTGGCAAATGGATCCGAGAGCCCATTATCATCTGCAGCTAACAGGCTCCTGCCCTGGTACAGGTGACACCGGAGCTGGAAATACCGACTGTCTGTGAACACAACACACAAAGGTTCCAGAATAAATGTGATGTTTTAAAATGAGAGGCCAAACCAGAGTTAAAACAGAAACTAAAGTCTTTCATTGGAAACTATTGGTACTAAAAGTGAAATCTTAAGTTTTTTACGACAAAATGTTTTTCAAAATTGTTTAAGTATGTAGGTATAAAAGATCAAGTTAACTTAATGACTGTTTTCAGATGAATCTAATAAAAGTAGTAATATAGATGAAATAACATTAATCTTTAGCATAAAAAATACTTTAAAATCCAGAAGTTACATATAACAATATATAAATAATCATTAAATCTCTACATTTTTGTGATTGACCCACCTTGACAGGCTAGGCTAAGAGGAAGTTGTTTGGTGGGAGGCCCCACCCCCTCCTCAGGTAAACGCATGGGTGTGAAGTCCTCAGGTAAGGAGCCCACAGCATCTTTACTGTATTTACTCTGTCCCAGCCACAGGTAGAGCTCCAGTTTCACAAACACCTCCCCAGGAGCAGAGCCCGGCGACTGCAGTCAAACAGTGTGTTACAAAAGATCATAACAGAATAAACATGCATGCATCATTCTGGCTATGCTTTGCTCTATATTTGGTATTTCACTTTTTGATGTCCAGTTTAAGGAGAGGCCTATGCATGAGTTTCAGGTTCCTGTTATCTGTAGCATTTTGAGAAATTTTTCCTATTCATAAAATATAGTATATTTTAAAATGTTTCTTATATTACACAAAATTGACTCTTGTGAACTAAACCATGTTATAATGTTGCTACCTCAAAAACATACCTGGAGTTCATTAACATGTTTGAGTAATCCTTTATTCTTAGTCTGTCTACATCTCCAAAGCTCAAAACGCTCTGGCCCACCTTGTCATGTAGCAGTAGTTTTCAAGTGCCTTTTAAAATCATCCAAATGATTCCACTGAAGGTGTATGGAGTTTAAAAACACAGTGGAGCACTTCCTGTATTACCACATAACATCACAAGATGGAACAGAGTGTTTTCCATTTGAGAGCTCAGCCTAAATAAGCAGGGTTTGTGTGCTACATGTGTGAATGAAACAAAACACAACTCCAGGTATGTTTGCGATGAGTAAACAGCATTAGCACATAGATAAGAAAGTAGCGTAATACGGGCCCTTCAAACACTTTGGCAAAGGTTCTAATTTTTTAGCATTCTGTAACTCATGAATAGCGATCTGGCCACCATAGAATTTTTTTGTTAGCCTACTTTTAAACCAATGTAGATTATAAGATGCTAAATTATAAACTGACCCTTCACAAGAGAAAGTTACACAATAATAAACAAAAATGAAACTTATTAATCAGATACTACATAATAACAACTCACCCTCATGTAAAAAGTGGACACATGGCCACAGTCCCGCCCCTTCTGCTCCTCCACCACTGAGAAGAGGATGGAGTAGGCGGGGATCCGGACGTAAGCCAATCGTTTTCTACCACAGCGTAACCATAGCAACACATCAGGAATTGTGCTCTGAGGCTGAGAAAGAGACATAGGCAACAGGTTCATAAATTGCCTATTAAGTTAACTATCCTATATTATGAATTTAAAAATGAATACTTTAGCTTTGGTTTATTATGGATAACGTATATGTATGTAAAAGTCAAATCAGCGCCTTTATTTGAGGATCACAAAGATGCATTGTTTGTATTTTAATTGTTACTGGCCTTTTAAAGATGAAAATAATACCTGTGATGTAACAACCCTGGAAAATTCAAAATTGCATGTTTTTGGAGTGTTCAGAGGAAGTGCACTTACTAAACATCATTCATCAAACCAGTGTGAATGAAGCAAAATACAGCTAAAGGTTTGTTTTTCAATTAACAATGTTATGACATAATTCCAATAACTCATTTTAGCATGGGTCCTTTAATACTGCCTCAGGAGTATATAAATGTGAGATGTGTAGGCTGGTGTGAAAGTAAACCAGGTTTGGCCCCTCATGACCTTGCGACCTCTGACCTCATGAGCTAGGAGGCGAAGCTTCTTGAGTATCTTCCTGGCGTCGGTTAGTTTCTGTTTGATGTTTCGTTTGGTGATTTTCCGGCGCGTTCTGACCGCCTGACGGGCCAAGATCACCTGCAATAGATCAGGTTTCGACAGTAAGTAAAGGAGAGAGAGAGAGAGGGGTAGAGAGAGATGGGGAGAGAGAGGAAGTAAGAGAGAAAGAGCGGTAGTGAGAAGGATTGACCGAGACAGAGCGAGACCGAGACAGAAGAAAGGAGCCTGAACTCACCAGGTTCTTCTTGAGGAAGTCTTTACGACAGCGGTCCAAAGTGTTGGGTCTGAACTGAGAGCGTCTGTCTGAAAAAACACTGAAATGTCTGAGAAAGAGAGAGAGGGAGAGACTAGGTTAACACCGGGTTTAGTTCTGGTGTAGTCCTGGTTTAGTCCTGGTTTTGTCCTGGTTTAGAGCTCATTTAATCTGGGTTTAGTCCTGGTTTAGTCCTTTCTCATTCCATACTTGCAGGATGCGATTAGCTCCAACAGCACCTCCTGCAGTCTGTTCTTGGCGTTGGACCCTGGTCTCCTCAGAAGCCTCTCCACCTGCTCCAGACCCAGCTCCAGGCGGTCAGAGATCTTGTGGAGCCAGCTGGACTGATACAGTCGAGGACTGTGGTCTTCAAACCGGGACAGGACCCAGAGACAGGGTTTAGGCCGTGACTGGAGAGGGATGCACCGGAAAGACCTGGAAAACCAAATAAGAAGTTTTTAAAGGGCCCATATTACACTATTTTCTGGCTGGAGCTGTGTTTTGTTTCATTCACACATGTTTAACACACAAATCCTCCATATTTAGTATGAGTTCTTCTCTCAAACAGAAAACACTCCACTATAAGTGGACAAGAAGTGCCTCACTGTGTTTTTAAACACCTTCAATAGAATCATTTGGATGATTTCAGCCCTCAGATTGCCAGTCACTTCTGAACTCAAGGTTAACTTGAAAATGTTCCGATTCATGACATCATGAGGTGGAACAGAGCATTTGGGCTTGTGGATCAATAAAGTTTATCTAAGTCTAACTAATGAGATTTGAAGCATGCTTAAAGCTGCACCGTGTAACCTACTGTGAGCCTACTGTGAGTGGACTTGCATCTTCACAAAACTGATTCAAGCATAGAATAGAAGGGCCTCTACCTACTTGTCTCTATGGAAATTTTTGTGGAGAATGTTCTTAAGTATGGTTTGAGCAGTTTTTTGTGGTGACTTGCTGCCGCAAAAAGATTATGCAATCCTGTCCAAAACTCAGCCCACAAACCCACATAACTCATGCTCCAGGACAATTTTTCATAAATATACAAAAGCAGGATACAAAAACTTGCACTAAAACTTGACAAACATGATGAGATGCGCTGTAGTTTAATTAGCGAAATGTATGCAGACTGTCTTGTGATAGCGCTCTGAAGGGGGAGTGACTTAATGCGAAGAGCAAAGGGAGTTAAACATAATATGTTTTTTAGTGAATTCAGCATTTTCAAAACAATAAAAGGTTACATGCCACGGTGATCTAAATAATATGTTATGTGTCTACAGTTAATACCCCATAGATGTGTAATAATGTGTCAAAAGCAAACCAAAAAGCACTAGGTTATTTAACTTCATGATCAATATTGTACGGGCATATGTATTACCTGTCATACTCGGTGTACTCTGCCTTCATTGGCTCAGTTACAGAGTGGTTCTCAGGTTCTGGTTCTGGGTTCAGTTCTGGGTCCGGGTCTCGGTCCAATTCTTCCTCAGACTCCAGAAGGCCCTGGCTCTCCTCACTCAGCTCCTGACGGCTCCTATGCAGCTCCTCTCTGCTCTGAGCGCGCCTCCGCACCACCTCCACAGCTTTACCAAAATTACCTGAGAAAGAAACCTGGGCTGAAGATATACTAAAAAGAGACTGACTGACTATAAAGGGCCCATAATACGCTATTTTTTTAATCTAGGTTATAATGTTGTTTCTTCATCAAAAACATACCTAGAGTTGTGTTTTGTTTCATTCACACATGTTTAACACACAAATCCTGCATATTTAGGCTCTGCATATGTTTGAGCAGTTCTTCCCTCAAACATAAAACACTACACCTTGTGATGTTATGTGATAACACAGGAAACACTTCACTGTGTTTTTAAACTCCACACACCTTCACTAGAATAATTAGGATAATTTCAGCCCTGGAATTGTCCATCTCTTAAAGGTAAAAGGTAGCTGTTAACTTGAGGACGTACCTTCCAATCCAGGACAGTTTATAAAAATGTGTAACAGCAAACTTTATTTTTCCTGCTTGAAAATTATCTATCAATATATAAATTTATGTATATATTTACATTAGGTGCAAGATAAACAAACATTTTCTTGTATAAAATAATAGTATGACACGTATATTACATAAACTAAAACCGCATAAAATGGTAAGTTTAAGGTTTGTTTGTTTTTTATTACCGATGGACAGTTCAAAGTTGAGTGGTTTGTTGCCCACACTTGGGTCCATCATGGTGATTTCAAACAGCGATGCAAACAACACAAACTCCTGCTTCTCCCCCAGAAAACCCTGTGAATACAAAGCAACCAACCAGGATCAAGAAGAGGGAGTTACCTGACAGTGCCATCCCTTCAGTTCCTTGTATATTACATATATATAAAAAGAAATGTTGCTATTAACTAATCAGGATGGCATTGTCAGGCAAGGGACACAGCCAGTCAGTCAAAACAAAGAGTAGAGATTCACTAAAAATGCTGAGAGCAAATAACCAATCAGGATCAAAAACATGGAGGCAACCAAAAATCATAGCAGGGATATTGGGCACAACAACCAATCACAGTGTTTCCCGCAGCACTTAATATTTAAGTCGGCCGCCTTGACAACAAGTGCCCAAGTAACCAAATTTTTGTAGCAGAAAAATGGTTTTACCACAGTACAGCTATATCATGAAAGAAACTCTTGGGGTCAAACTGAGACCACTGTGTGCTGTCTTCATGCAATTAATGAGGAAGTGCACTATTAGCATGTTAGTTGTTGTTAAGAAACTTGCTCTGTTTCTCAAGTTCAGTCAAAATCAGGTACTTTCATGTGAATTCTTCTCACCTTCTCAGATATTTGTTTATATTGTCCCCTTAAAGCAAAAATGTATTCTGCATTTGACCCATCCTCTGCTGCGGGGAAAGCATTACATTCGTATTTGTGTTTCTGACCTCAGGAAGTGGGTGGATTTCTTCTGTTTCCACGGTTACAGCTTCAGGAACCTCCCCAAAGTCCTCGGTGCTGTCTCCAGATACTGAAGGAGGAGGAGCTGCAGCGGAGGAAGACACATTTAAAAGAGGGCAAAACTAAACATAAATATACATATGGAATTATAACAAAATGAAAGAAACTAGTGCTGTACAAACCTGTGCTTTGCTCCTGGTTCTTCTTCTTACTGCTCCTCTTCTTCCTCAATCCCAGTTTACCCAGAGCCCCTTTCACCTTCAAAAACACGGCTCAGTTAGTGCCATGTTACGAATAGCTTTTTCACCATGCTTTTTGTTAAAGTGGAAAGTGAAAGCAACAGCACTCATCATGTTTGCATTATTTTAAAGGTGGGGTTGAGGGTCCACCACCTGCTCGGCTCTGGGGAGATGTTACTGCAAAGCCTAGATGTTCCACAGTCTTTCATTTAATTTGTCTATCTCCATGGAAACCACCAGTGAGAGGAGAGGCTGCTCTATGTAACATATGTTTTTTCAGATATTTTTTTCACCAATAAAAACATCGGAGATTGAATAAATAACAGAGACAGATACGTTTAAAGCCCTACTGATGAAGGCAATAACATCTCCATGGAGACACTGCACCAAAAAAGTTACATAGTGCACTTTTAAGTTTTAACAAATAAATTATGAACACACATATATCCCACGGCCACACAACATAAAAATAAGCTTGAATAAAAGATAATGTAATAATAATAAAGAATACATTTCTGCAATAAAACTGTATGGAACTTTTTTTAAATTTATTTTACAAAGATCCTATATTACACAAAACTGACTCATGAGCTTTAAGCTTTTAGCTTCTCAAAAAATACCTGAAGTTCTGTTTTGTTTCATTCACACATGTTTGAGTAACACTTTATTATAAGTCTGTCTGCATCTCGAAAACGCAAAATGCTCTGTTCCAGCTTGTGATGTCATGTAGTGGACGTTTTCAGGTTAACAGCTCCTTTTACCTTTAGCTTAGTAGAGATTTGCAATGGCTGAAATTATTCAAATGATTCAAGCGAAGGTGTGTGGAGTTTAAAATCACAGTGAAGCACTTCCTGTATTACCACATGACATCAAGGTAAAACTTTTTTCTGTTTGAGAGAAGAACTCAGGCTAAATATCTAGGGTTTGTGTGTTAAACATGTGTGAATGAAACAAAACACAACTCCAGGTCTGTTTGTGATGAGGAAACAACATTGTAACACAGATCAGAAAATGGTGAAAGATGGGTGCTTTAATGTTGAAATTTTAAATCTTACCTTTGCCACAGCACCAGTTGGGACCTCATTATTAGCTGAAGGAGAAGTGTAGACCTCCACAGTTAGAGCGATCAGGATCCGGCCTCGATAAAAAATGCCCTCTCCAAGTCCTTCATTTAGAGCCTTGCAAGAAGTATTGCAATTTCAGTCTTTTATACTAAGAGAGCAAATTCATGAGAAACTAATTTTTGTCAAATGTCAAAAAATGTAAAGGTGCATTAACTTTTCTGGTTGAGGGTCTGTCACCTGCTTGTTTCTATGGAGAAGTCACTGCTCTGCCTGGAATATTCCACAGTATGACTTTAAACAGCTCTACCTTACATTTATTCAATTACAGGTAGTTTTACCGTTCCAAAAATACCTACAAAAACAGGCATTCTGACTGTTAGTGGGGTCGCCTCTCCACAGATCTGACCTGTAACTTGATCTGGTTTGGTCTCCATGAAGATTTAATGCCGTACTGTGAAACTTTCCAGATAAAGTAATAATAACATTTCCATGGAGAAAAGTATTTGACAGACCCTCTACCAGAAAAGTTACACAATGCACCTTTAAGTAAAAATTGTGAGCAAGTGTCTCAAACCTGGTGTATATCTCTCAGAGTAGAGTTCTGAGGGGATCCGTACAAATTCACCCAACTTGGACCAAATGTGGGATTAAAACCTGAAATATAAAGATTTTGTAGTAAATTAATTATTGTGTTATGTGTGTGTATGCTCAAATGGACTGAAGGACTAACCCAAGATCAAAAATAAAATCAAGGCATATGTAGATGATCAACTTTGTTTTGAGTTATTGTTTAATTACTTATTATTAGTCTACATCTTCAAAGCTCAAAATGCACCTTGTGATGTTATGTAGTGGTAGTTTTCAAGTTAGCAGCTCTCTTTTACCCTTAGCTCAGTAGAGATTTACAATTCCAAATCCGAATGATTCCAGTGAAGGTGTATGGAGTATAAAAACACAGTTCCTGTATTACCGCATGACATCACAAGGGGGAACAGATTGTTTTCTGTTTGAGAGAAGAACTATTATGCATTGAACTATACTGTGACCATGTAATTTCTCTTGTAGATCAGTCAAGTTTGGTCAAATTGAAGGACTAAACGAAGATCAAAATTAAAATCATGTCATATGCAGATGTTCAGTTTGATAGGGTTTAAATCCCAACTGACCATTCCTGGTTGGGTCTGAGATCTGCTGCAGGTCCAGGAAGTGCGTTGCCAAAGCGACATCTCCGGTCTTTGAGTCATCGAGGATCTGGATTTTGATTCGCTGAGCTAAAGGAGGAAACTGCTCGATGAACAAAATCTCTTCATTCCAAACGGGAAAACTGCTCGCCCCAGCAACAGAGGTCTCACCCTGAAAAGGGCAGAGTCAAAGGTCAAAATACTGCAGGGTTTTCATGGTTTAGGAATTATATAAATACTGCTGTGTGTTGATTCATTTAATTAATCAGCTTTTAAGAACTTTCAATCAACTAATCAATCACAAAGGTGTTATAAAAAATATTGAATTACATTTATTTTAAAGCTGAATTCAATAAACTTTATGTAGTAATTATTTTGGTCAGCTGTCAGCGCTTATCCATGTTATAGCTTTACTTTGAGGTGTACTAGAATTTATTATATGAATACTGTGGAAGATCTTTTTCAGTTCAATAAACAGAACTAAAAAGTTACATATTGTGGCTTTAACCAAGGAAAATCATGTAGAAACCTCAAAGAAATGAAAATAATGAAATACAGTGAAGACCGTATATTTGCAGGCAGTTTGTGCTCACCTGCTGCCCACAGAAGGTGACCTGCACGTACGGGTCGATGAAGACCGTGCGGTCAGACACGTCCATCTTGGCCATGAGTCCAGAGTCCATAGTGGGGAGGCCCTCGGCTCGGTAAATCCGGACCCTGAACCGGGCCCAGGGCCGCTCTTTAGACATGCCCCGAGGAAGCATCAGGTTTCTGTGGGACAGTAGAAGTAATAATAGTAATGCTATAGTAAAGCTAAGCCGTGATGGAGCGTAACAAAGTAAAAATAGTAAAGTACTGTGCTTACGTATACATTTTATGTACATTATATGTATTTTACTTATGTACATTTTAAAGTGGATACTTTTTACTTTTACTTCACTACATATGAGAGCAGGTATCTGTACTTTTTACTGACTGAAAAGTAAAAGTTTTTTTTTTTTATTATTAACTGTATTTCTCGAACTATAAATCGCTCCGGAGTACAGCTCGCACCAGCCAACCAACCAGCAAAATGCAGGATGAAGAAGAAAAAGTCGCACCGTACTATAAATGCCATTTTTGGGGGAAATTTATTTTGTAAAATCAGAGACCAAGAACGGACATTTCATCATGAAAGGCAGGTTATAGTAATAATAACATTGGAACAGAGATTAACAGGCTGAATAGGTGTCCAGTACGTTAACGTAACACATGAACAGTTATTCAGATAACTATAGCATGAACAACAGAACTTAAAAAGTTTACCAAACTCCCCATTTCACTCCAGATCACCAAGTCTAGCTTTTAGCCCGCTTTTTTGTTCTCTTCCTTGCAGTTAAGAGTATCCTCCGCTTTTCGCCAGTGCCTCATAAGTGTCTCCCTCACTCCAAACTTTCTTTCTGCTGCTCGATTATTGTTTTTGGCTGCAGATTTCACTGTTTGCAGCAGGACGGAGGCTCTTTCTGCAGGAGACATGTGCAGTAGAACCAGAGTAGAATGCCCAGTGACAGTGGTACAGGAGTTATTATTTTAATAGATCCATTTACAGGAGTTACTCCATACAGGAGTAGCAGATACTGGCACATAAGCCTAGAGCGCCCTCTCGTGGCTGTCAGTATGAAAATGACGAACATGCAAAATTATATATTTTAATACATAAGCCGCACCTGAGGAAGTCGCAGGACCATTCGAAACCATGAAAAAAGTGCGGCATACAGCCCGAAAAATACAGTAAATGCAACCTGGTGAAAAGGCTGAGAGTTTATTTTTTAACACATTTGTAATTTGAACAAAAAATATACAATTAAAACAGGTAGGAAAAAATGCTTGATTCAGTTAATTCTGCTGATCAAACCTCAGCACAAATCTGAATCAAAATCATTACTAATTTGAAGCTTTATTAGATCTCAAAATCTGCACAGAACATTTTTAGCCAGGTACTTTAATACTTTTACCTAAGTTGATTTTTTCATGTGATACTTTTACTTGAGTATATTTTTGCTCCAGTATCTGTATCTTCTGAGTACTTCTTCTGCCATAGACGCTAAATCCGAGCTAACATGGGAATCTGCGTGCCAGTACAGGTTCCTGGACACTAGGGGGAGGGGAGCAACATGCATTTCTATAATGAATGCAAATTATACTTTTAACAAATATAGACCATGAATATCACCAGTAAAAACTTGACCTGATTTAGTTCTACAATAGACCTGGTTTAGATCTGGTTTAGACTTGGTATTTTTGTTCAAGTTTTATTAATTAATATTATTAGTAGTATTTTATGGTATTATAGTTTCTCTTGGGGTATAAGATTAGCATGCCTGTGGATAATCAATAGATCATTTATCAGTGATAGGAAACTAGGTGCCAAAGAAGAATACTGCAAAGGGTCCTCACAAAAAACTTAAGAGGTTGAAGTGTCTTGCTCAAGGACACATCAACAACCTGTGATACTGGTCGGGGGAAGGATTTAACGATCCCCAAAATTTAGATAAATATTTGGGACAGATGGTAGAACTGTGCGGTAACTCACTTCTCGATTTCAGGCGATCCGTGGGAATGGGACCCCGGTTCGATGCTGGTGCCCAGACTGTCCCCCTTCATCAGGACACCAACCGTCGCCCTCACGTAACCTTTGACCCCAGAGCGTGTGTCGGTGGGGTCACTCAGCGGAGCCCACTGCTGGTAGAAGCGCTGATCTGCAACAAGTCACAACTGAAGCTTTAAGACAAGTATTCAAAGACATTGTAACGCTTATGATTACTTATGAATGCTTGGAGAACAGATATCTGGTACCTGGTTGGTTGAAGACAGTCCTTATATCCATTTTGAACAATCCAATCAGATCCAAGAGAAATGGCAGCGTTTTTCTGTGAAACACCTGAAATAAATAAATAAGTAGGAACGTGTAAAGAGACAGAAATATTTCCAAGATTTGCCAAAGCACAGATACATTGTAAAAGCAGCTCTTGGGGTGAAACTGAGATTTTAATGCAGATGAGCACTGTTACCATGCTAGTTGTTGTTAGGAAATTGAGGAATAACTTTTGATTGTTATTAACAAAGGATAATATTCAAATAATCCTTTTTAAAATGGCTGGAGGATGGTGGTGCAGTGAAGGTAGCACTGACCTTGATCTCGATGACTTTGTCGAAGAGCATCTCTGGAGCCTCCTGAAGCTCGAACACAAAATTCTGAAACAAAAATCAGTTCTGGAGTTTTAAACATGGAATTTAATGGACCTGTTTATATCATGAATTATAAATATTGGAATTTACAGAGAACAAAAGGCAAAAACAGCTCCCACAGATGAATGCTGTCATTGTGTCATTGGGCAAGACACTTAACCCACCTTGCCCCTAGGTGTCTGGGTGCACTGGTGTATGTGTGTGTGTGAATGGGTGAGTGGTTCCTTGATGTAAAGCGCTTTGAGTGACTTGAAGGTGGAAAAGTGCTGTATAAAAATGTGACCATTTACCATGTTTATTTATTTTTATTTTATTTGGAAAAGGGAAATATGCCAGATTAAACCCACAGGTTGATTTTCATCTGCTGTCCCAGGGGCATACAGGAGTGGAGTTTGTTAATGAATACCAGGAAAAAAATTTACGTCTTTTTTAAATTCACTATATTTTCAGGTCTAGAACATTTGACTTTGTTTACCTCATTATAGAATGGACAGTTGGTGGACTTCTGAGTGGCTGTGTGTTTTTTGTGATTCCCGACTCGGATAAACACGACTGGATTTATATTGACTCCAGCCAGCTTCTGAGCCTCCAGAACATTCACACTTATCTGATAATAACAAGAAAGAAATGCAAAGTATTCATTTGAAACACACTTAATTTTCTTTAAATTACTTTAAATTTAAATTAAGACCAAGATCAGACCTGAAAACTCTGGACTTTGGGAGTGGCTGCTGCTTCTCTCTTGGACAGAGCTCTGCAACGACTGAAAAAAAAGAGTACATTTATTATCTGGATTAAACTAGGGTGACCAAACGTCCGTTTTTCCCGGGACACGTCCATTTTTTGCGTCCTGTCCTAGACGTCCAGGTTTGTTTTTTTTTAAGTGATGCAAATGTCCAGGTTTTCATTATCTTTCATTGTGCCATTAAACTGAGCATTTCTCATAGCTCTCTGCACTCAGAAGGAGTGAGCAGACACAAACAGTTGGTCAGTCTGCAACATCCTGAAGTGCAAATGTGCATTTAACGATGACTTGCACAAGAAATTCCCTGTTTTCCGTCCTGGTCGGGACAAGTGGGAGGCCATGTGCACAGGTTGCGAGGTGAGAGTAGCTCAGTGTCGAGGCCCCACCCCCTGTGAGGTGTCTGGGTTTTCACAAACGAAAATATGGTCACCCTAGATTAAGCAGTATCACAAGAATGCATAACTGTCTACTTCCCCTGGTGGCTACAAACAGCAGAACATACTGAATATAAAAATTACCCTGGACTCTCTCTGAGGGTGGTTCACTCTATGTGTAGAACTATTTAGATCGCCCCATGCAAAGTGCTCACAGCATCTACAATAAAATGGCTGGTACACTTGAGTAAATGGACCTCCACTTTCCCTAGTGGCTGTCTAAAATAACATCTCTTCCATTGTTCGATAGTTTGTGATTGTTGAATGTAAATAGTTTAAAACTGTAGCAAAAGGGGTTTATGAAGACAAAACCGGGTCAAGTAAGTGGCTCTCTACTCCCCGTTTGGCAATGTGTAGTATTCATAAATGAAATTATTAGTCTCAGTATCTTAATGGATCTATTCATGTTTATGCTCTCCTTGTTTTTCTATACAGTATTTATTCATAAAAATGTCTCTATAACCCCCGTTAGTGGCTGTAAAGTATTAATAGAAGAAAACTTCCCCTGGTGGCTTTACCTGAACAGTTGTGTGGACGTGACCGCTTCCAACTCAGTGTAGTCTTCGTCCCAGTCTTCATCGCTGTCATAATCATCTTCACCACTTGTCACTAACTCCCTCCCTAAGCGCCGAACTTCGCGCTCTAATTGGATGGGACGGATCCCTGACAGCTGACTACAAATGAACATATATTTTTAGATTTGTGTAAACGTCAAATGCAATACGTATAATATTGTAATACTCACCTCTCAATATCATCAAAAGCGTCATTTCTGATCACAAGTGAACTGGAAACATTAAGAATCAATAAGGAGCATATTTACCAAGGTTGTCAAAAGTATAGATATTAATCGATACTAAAACTAATATTGAAACTAGATACTCATTTGAGCATTTGAGGACAGAAATGAACCTTTCCTGAAAAGCTTTAAAATGATCTTGAGCTGTATCAGAACAAGTATAAGAGCACATAGACTCGTATACACCCATGGACCTCTGTGGAACCTACCTGGACCACTGAGGGATTACACAGATATACTGAAATACCACATGGGAATAGAAAATAAAGTACTATTAAATGTTGAAAATTACATTCTATTGTCTATGTAAAGAGTGTTTTTATTAAGTGGTATCAGAATCTGTATCGAGGCTATTCCTCAGTATCGAAATTGAGTTTGAAATGTTAGTATCGTGTTTACTTTTGTCATGTTGTGACAAAACTATTACTTACTATTATAAACAATAATAGGTTTAAATTTAGTATGATCTGAAGTGTAATGTTTTATAATTCTCACTGGTCTTTGTCTTCTAGTCGGATGAAGTCTTGACCATCCCAATTTCCTGCAGATCCTTGAACCGGGTGGTACCTGATGTCCAACTCAATGTAAATCTAATCACAACAGAAAATACACTGGAAATTACAATAACCACTTCAGTTCATTAAAGATGCACTACGTCACTTTTTCTGTTAGGTGAAAGCGCCCAGATTACGTTATTTTTATGATCTATTTTCTGTTCTATTCTGTTCTATTTTATTTTCTGACCTGTGTTATACTGTTGTTTCTTCATCACAAACAGACCTGGAGTTGTGTTTTGTTTCATTAACACACAAATCCTGCATATTTAGGCTGAGTTCTTCTCTCCAACAGAAAACACTCTGTTCCACCTTGTGATGTCATGTGGTAATACAGGAAGTGCTCAGCTGTCTTTTTAAACTCCGTACACCTTCACTGGAATAATTTGGATAATTTCTGGATTTTTGGAATTGCTAGTCGCTATTGAAGTAAAGGTAAAAGGCGCTGTTAACTTGAAAACTACTACTTCATGACATCACAAGTTGGAACAGAGTATTTTGAGCTTTGGAGATGCACTCTAATAAATCAGGGTCACTCAAACGTGTGAATGAAACAAAAGACAATGTCAGGTACGTTTTTGAAGTGGTAACACTATAATAACATGGCTAAAACCTCACATGAATCAGTTTTGTGTAATGTTTCACACTACGGCTTTAAGCTTCTCCTCTTTCGTAAAATGAAGTTGTTAATGCCCATTTAATATGCCTCTTTCAGTTAAAGAAGGTTTACTTAAAACAACAAAACTTACAGTAACATTTAAGAATAAAATGACTTAATATACCTGGGTGTCTCTGTACTTACATTTGTGAGACTGTAGTTGGCGTCAGTGAGAGGTTCTCTGAGAATTAACCGCCCTGATGTTAACACATGCTGCAGACTGATCTCCAACTGACCCAGGAGTCTGCACGGAGAGGAGACAAGGAGAGAGGAGGCGAGGAAAGAGGAGACAAGGAAAGATGAAATGAGGAGATGAGGAGAGGAGACAAGGAAAGAAGAGGTGAGAAGAGAAGAGACAAAGAGAGAGGACACAAGGAAAGAGGAGACGGGGAGAGAGGACACAAGAAAACAGGAAACAAGGATATAGGAGACAAGGAGAAAAAGAGATAGGAGAACAGGAGATGAGGAGAGAGGAGACAAGGAGAGAGGAGATGAGGAGAAAGGAGATGAAGTGAGAGTAGATAAGAAGAGAGAAGATGAGGAAAGAGGAGACAAGGAGAGAAAAGACAAGGAGAGAGCCGATGAGGAGAGAGGACACAAGGAGCAAGGAGATCAGGAGAAAGGAAATGAATTGAGAGGAGACAAGGAAAATAGAGACACGGAAAGAGGACACAAGAAAGACGAGACAAGGACAGAGGAGACAAGGAGAGAGGAGATGATCAGAGAGGAGATGAAGAGAGAGGAGACAAGGAGAAAAAAGACAAGGAGAGAGCCGATGAGGAGAGAGGACATAAGGAGCGAGGAGACAAGGAGAGAAAAGACAAGGAGAGAGCCGATGAGGAGAGAGGACACAAGGAGCGAGGAGACAAGGAGAGATAAGACAAGGAGAGAGGACACAAGGAGCAAGGAGATGAACAGAGAGGAGATGAAGAGAGAGGAGACAAGGAGAGAGCCGATGAGGAGAGAGGACGCAAGGAGATGAGGAGAGAGAAGACAAGGAAAATAGAGACATGGAAAGAGGACACAAGAAAGACGAGACAGGGACAGAGGAGACAAGGAGAGAGGAGAAGATCAGAGAGGAGACAAGGAGAGAGGAGACAAGGAGAGAAAAGACAAGGAGAGAGCCAATGAGGAGAGAGGACACAAGGAGCGAGGAGATGAAGAGAGAGGAGACAAGGAGAGTCGATGAGGAGAGAGGACACAAGGAGCAAGGAGATGAGCAGAGAGGAGACAAGGAGAGAGGAGACAAGGAGAGAAAAGACAAGGAGAGAGCCAATGAGGAGAGAGGACACAGGGAGCGAGGAGATGAAGAGAGAGGAGACAAGGAGAGTCGATGAGGAGAGAGGACACAAGGAGCAAGGAGATGAGCAGAGAGGAGATGAAGAGAGAGGAGACAAGGAAAGAAGAGACATGGAAAGAGGACACAAGAAAGATGAGATGAGGAGAGAGGAGACAAGGAAAAAAGACACAATGAAAGAGTAAATGAGGAGATGTTTTTTACATTTTGAAAATCTGGTACCGCACCTTTAAAATAATCTAGGGACTGACCTGTTGGAGAAGATTCTGCTGCAGTTGTAGACACAGACAGATAGTACTTCATCTTTGCCCAAGTTAACGTAGTGAGGCCAGCGAAAATACTGCAAAATAACAAATACTGTTTCAATACAGGTTTACTGTAATAAACTCAGAATTAAAGGTGCACTATGTAGCTTTTCTTATATAACTTTTCTTGCTTGTTTCTGTGAAGATGTAGATTGGTCTTAAACACTGAATTATTTGTCAGGTGTTTTGCTGCTTTTCACGATTCACAATTGCTTTTTTCTTCATATATTGACTTTTAATAACTGCAATTTAACACCAAAAATAGTCAAATTTCTTCCTCCAAATTCTACTCCAAACTACTAGGAAATGTGTTTACAAAGGACAGACTGTAGACTTCATTAAAAAGATCCAGGCTGATCACTGGCGAATAGTAAAGACAGAATTTCGATATCGATCAAAATTTGATTAACTGCATAGGCCCAATTCTTATGGTGAGCAGCCTCTCCACAGATTTGACCTGTAACTTGGCCTGGATTCACTACCTGACTGTTTCCAAGGAGATAGATAAGTCTAATGTTTGTACCCCACTTAAGAAAAGTTACACAATGGACTTTTATGAGAAAGAAACTAGAGTGTTATCAGATTGAGTTTTACATCAGTTTGGACTCACGCCTGAAAAACAAACACTGATCTCACCATTGCCTGGGAGTTCTGTGATGTCACTCTGTGGGAGGGGCTTCTGCATCTGGACTACACTACCCATCAGCCCCTGCCACCAAAATGAATTCTGCTGCTAATTCATCTTTTTTTTTTTTTTTTTTTCATTTGGGATTTATTTATTAAGTTGTAAAAACAAACTAACAAACAAACAAAAAAACAAATTACAATCATTATATGTATTATATGATTAAATTGTATTGTTAAAATCTGTAGTAAGATCCACAAATGCAGTAAATTTACAGTAAAAATAACCAAATTAACTGTCCAAATCTGTAAAAATGTATTTAGCATAAAATATTTGACTGCAGGATTGTGTAAACAAGCATATTGCCATAGTTTAGTTGTTTTATTTGCATTTATATTCATAAGTTTATTAACTAATTCATAATTTTGTTTTGTCTAAAAAATTACAGACCCAGTTAGCAAACTTAACTAAAAACTAGGGATGGGCATTCGATGAAATTTTCTTAATCGATCGTCGGAAGAATTAACGATCGATTATCGATTAGTCATTAACGTTTTTAAATTAAAATGATCATCATTATTATTACTATCTGCACTACTAATCTGCATAAATAAATTCAACTTTACGACATATAAACCGTAACGACTCTAGAGCCACATCAGCCCGTTTGACATTATAATGTGTTTAATTCACTTATGCGCAACTCTCACAGAAACAAAACTTAAAACCGCATCGCTAATTTGCATAAACTCAGCGAAGATAAAACTACAGCTCTTGTGCGCTGATGCGATCAATTTCTGTCGGATTAAAAGACATGACTCAGTGGAATACAGGTTAGTGTGACCAGATTTGCGTTTGTCAAAACCAGGACACCGTACGGGGGGTGGGAGGTGGGGACTCGTCATCGACATTGTGCGACTCTCACCTGGTAAAGCTTTTTCCCACTGGACACCGACACATATGTGCTGCTTTGTTCACTGTGCACATGGCCTCCCACTTGTCCCGAACGCAACAGAAAGCGTGGAATTTCTTGTACAAGTCATCGTTAAATACGCATTTGTGCTTCGGTACGTTGCAGACTGACCGACTGTTTGTGTCTCACTCCTTCTGAGTGCAGGGAGACTCATGTACGGACCCCTGTTTGTGCACTCTACGCACAGCAACCTACATTCGGTTTGTCGATTAAAATTAATGTAATCGATAAAATTCTTAATGATCAATTATCGATTAATTGATTAATCATGCCCATCCCTACTAAAAACCCTCACTTATTCATTTCAAAACCTAAACTTATCCTGAGTGTGCAAAAATATATTGACAAAAACATTTGTGCGCCTAACCACCAATAAAATGAACTGTTGTTTGACATTACTGTGTTTGAGAGAAAATGTTGCCACTCAGATGCATCAACAGGAAGTAAAAGAAAAAGTTTTTATTAAATTTAAAGTCTAAATTAAAATTTGTCTTGTCAAAAGTCTGTTTTTAGACCTGGTGAATAGGAAAACAATGTTTTAGGGAGTCCCCAGAGACTGCAGCTTGGTGTAAAAAAATGGCTAAATTTTCAATATCTGAAAAATGCTCTCCAGTGTGATTTGAAGTCACTAGGAGTAAAATTGGTCTCTAAAGAGTTGTACCACCAGTGGGACATGCATGACAGTTTGAGAACCCCTGTCAAAAGACTAATAAAAGTGAACAATAGTTTTACAGTATTGTCAGTGTGAACAGGACTGCAGTATCTGTACAGTCGTGTATGATGAAGGAGAGCCACTGTGTGCTCAGCAGGAGGGGCTCAGGTGAGACACTGCAGGGGAGTGGGAAAAATTTTACACTTAGAGAGATCAATTTGAAACTTCTTCTGTAGTTTACTTACATGAATGTATAGAGAAAAATGTATTACATACATTTGTATTATATAATTTTATTCATGTATTTATTTGAATCATTTAAAAGTCCTATATCATGCAGAATTGACTCTTTTGAGTTTAAAGCCATGTTATAATGTGGTTACCTTGTCAGAAACAAACCTAGAGTTGTTTTATGTTTCATTCACACAGGTTTGAGTAACCCTTTGTTATTAATCTGTCTTCTTCTCCAAAGCTCAAAGTGTAACAGCTTCTTTTACCTTTAGTTCAGTGGAGATTGGCAATTCCACTGCTAAAATCATCCAAATGATTCTAGTGAAGGTGTGTGGAGTTTAAAAACATAATGGAGCACTTCCTGTATCACCAAATGACTTCACAAGGTGGAACAGAGTGTTTTCTTTTTGAGGGAGGAACTTAGACTAAATATGCAGGATGTCTGTGTTAAACATGTGTGAATGAAACAAAGTCCAACTCCAGGTCTGTTTGTGGTGAGAAAACAACATTATAATATAAATTAGAACAGGGTTCTCCAACCTGTAGCCCGGGAGCTACCTGGAAGGAAACCCCTTCCACGTAGCTCACCAAGGGATTTCTGAATTATACTTATGGTGTAATATCAAATTTGATTAATCAAATGGCTATTACTATTGTAAATGCATCATGTTGATACTTAACTTCGTGAACTAATAAATGGCTTATGTTTTATATTCATCTAAATGTTCCCATCTAACCACTCTTTGTGACTCTTAATTTCTTGTAACCACTGAAATTAATAGCTCTCTGGCATTTTTATTTTGTAAAAGTAGCTCACCAGAGGAAAAGGTTGGAGAACGCTGGATTAGAATATAGCATAATACAGGCCCTTTAATATTATTATAAATTGGACACTAGTTTAGGACATATACATCTGAAAAATTGACAGAGCCAGCAAACTGATTAACTTAAATAATAGAACATCTTTAGGGGCAGACTGAACAATGTTGTGTTTTCCATAGTAAAGCTTTGTATTGAGACACCACAAAATGACCACAAAAAGAGAAAAGAGTTTTGTCCCACGACAGATATATTGTATTACCAGCTCTTGGGGTCAAATCAGTTCTCTGTGTACTGTTTGCAGTTTTAAAGAGTTTATTGTCTCATGTACAATTAGTAACACTATTTATTCACCCTCACAGCTATTTAACTATATCTGCAAACATGGCTGCCACTCAAGAACACAGAGTAAACAGACAGAAGATGAACTCTAATCAAACCTTGCACCTATCTGCAGAAAGTGTAGCCTGAAGAGACTGTGGGGCTTAGTTGTGGAAGGAAAGAGATGTGTTTTACCTCATTGAAGACGGCTGTTTCCTCGCTCTGAAGAATCCTCGTTTTGTGACTGAAACCTGATGGACAAACAAACATGAGTCATGACAGGATACAATTATATTATATGATGTTATTTTCATTTATATCATATTTTATTATATAATACTGGACATTTTACCTCTGAATTTGAGTGTGACCTTCCTGTCACTGCGACCAGGTAAATTCCACACCTTCGTAAGAGTCACACTGATCGACATCTTCACCTGCCTCACCTGCCACGAGGCAGGTGTCCACAGATAGGTGAAACGTCCTCAGACAGATGAAGTGTCCTTAGACAGGAGAAATGTGATCTGACAGGTGAAGTGTCCTCAGACAGGTGAAGTGTCCTCAGACAGGTGAAGTGTTTTCAGACAGGTGAAGTGTCCTCATCTTTGTCACACTTTGTCCAAACAGTTTGACAGGTGAATGTTCCCATATGGATGTATTGTGGATCTTGTGAGAAGGAAAACCAAGTGTAACTTTTGGTATGATGATAATGATCCCTTGCACCAGTCCTGGATAAAAGAGAAAACTCGGTGAGAGTAAGGAATTGTGTACTGACAAAGAGAATATAGCCTCAAACCAAAACAAACATTTTAACACTAACAAAAAGAGTATAATTTAACAGAAACACCAAATATTCTGGAGAGTGTCAATATTTGAAGGCATTACAGTACAATTTTATCTTAATCTATTTAGATTCACAATATTTGTAAGGTGATTCATCTGCATATGGCAAGTCAGGCTACTCATTTAACCAAAACATGGTTAATTATATTTCAAATTTCACTTTATTTCCTTTATATATTTTGTATTAGTACATGGATGGATATGGACAGCAGACCTACAAGGAAATTCCATAACTAACCTAACTAATCAACCATGTTAACAAAGACCAAATTCTAAAGTCTTGTCTAGTCTACGTTGCACAAGAGTTATGTTTAGACTTATAAAAATACAAGACAACACCTTTATTTAGTTATATTAATGTTTAAACTGGTACAAAAATTTGCTCCTTGCATGAAAATTGTCCCTATACTTTTTGGATGGAATTTTCAGTGTTGATGCCATAGGTAGTGGTATATGTGTTTTTTTCCAGGAGATGTAGAGAGACTAATAATAAAGGATTTCTGAAACATGTGAATGAAACAAAACACAACTCCATGTATGTTTTGATGAGGTAATAACATTATAACTCGGCTTAAAACTCACAGGAGTAAATTTTGTGTAATATAGGACCTTAAAATTCCACATAGTCACTCACCACTGGAACAAATGTGATTAAAAAATGTAGCTTCGTACCTCACTTGTGTCCACCTGGTGCGTCGTTTCACCGGCTTTTTCACCTATAGTCGCACCTGTCGTTTCACCTGTATTTTCACGTGTTTTGGCTTCTCCTGAGCTCCACTGCCTCTGCTCCTGCCCCAGAACCAAACCAAAAACTGAAGCAGTGAGTGTGTGTTTGATGAAGGGAGGGACATATGTTTGCTCAAGGACTGGTCCAAGGAGATGAGGAAGGAAAAGTCTGAGTTTTTTTTAATCCTGACAAACAAAACAAAATAAGTGAACCTGCAGAAATGATGTCAAGAGAAAGTCAGGGTGGGAAGAGGAACCCAAAATGGAACTCATGTTACTTCTAAATAATAATAAAATTATAAAATAAAATAAATAATTACTCAAGTAGAAGTATAAAGTAATGGTCCAAGAAATCACTCAATTAGTCAAGAGAAAAAGTATTTGGGAAAACTTGTCCAAAACTAAATGACATCAGAAAGAGAAACACAAATGTCCAAAGCATTTTATATTGTTGACATAAAGCTTTTGTCACATGTAGATTTACTCACAGTGGGAGGAGTTGCCACATTTTTTTTCGGAGTACTAAAGGAGAGGTACTGCTACTTAAATAGTGTTACCTACATTAGGGTGACCAGACGGCTCTATTTACCCAGGACAGTCCCAGTTTTGAGCCCTGTGTCCCCTGTTCCAGCAGATTTATACAAAACCACTGATTTATCCCAGTTTTATATAAGAAATGTCCCAGGTGTCCCTATTTTTGACCAGGCTGATCCCTGCCAACAGTAAAGAGAGACATCAATTGTCATTTTTTTCAGTAATACAGAAAAGCTGCTAAAAATGACCAAAATACAAAGAAAATGTAATTTTCCTTAATGATGCACTTGATTCACAATTTTATTATTGTTAACCACCACAAACCAAGGGTGTCCCAGTTTTTTAATTTTGAAAATCTGGTCATTATAACCTACATATTTCTCAAGTAGGAGTAAAAGTATGTTGAAATCTACCCTGAAAAATACAGTTTCTTGAAAATGTTACCCAAGTAAATGTAACTTAAGTGCTACCCACCTCTGCTTGATGATGTTGATGATATAGGTATCCTGTATTTTCCATTGTTTTGCCTTCTTTTTCTTCTTCTTCCTCTTCTTCTTCTTCTACTTCTTCTTCTTTATTGTCACTATCTTCATCGTCTTCTTCTTCTTCCTCTTCTTTGAAGATCCGTCGAATGCTTTTCTCCAAGAAAATGTTGTTGCTTTGTCTGGAATGTTTCACAGTATGGCATTAAACCTTTCTATCTTCATGGAGACCAAACTTTACCAAGTTACAGGTCAGATCCTTATAGAGGCAACCCCACTCACAGTCTGAATGCCTGTTTTTCTGGGTGTTTTGATGCTATAAAACCAGCTATAATTTAATTTAAAATAGAGCTGTTCAATGTCATAATGTGGAACATTCCAGACAGAGCAATGACATATCCATGGAAACACGCAGATGATGGACCCTGCACCAGAAAAGTGACATAATTCACCTTTAAATATATAGAACACAGGTGTCAAACATAAGGCCCGGGGGCCAGATCCGGCCCTCAAAGACCTTTAATGTGGCCCTTGGGTGATTTTCTACTAAAATATTTTAATTATATTTTCTATTAAAATATTGGTAATTTTCTGCGGTGCTGATCATAGCAGCGTCTCCAGCATCTCTGTACGTGGCCCCTCCCACCAGAGCAGCACAAATGAAGACTTGTCTCTTTCCAAACGCTCTTAAAGGACGATCGTTTTGACTGTTGACTGTGACACCCTCATGAGAAAAATGTCCAACATGAGAAAAGTGGAGCCTAGTGCAGGATTTTACAAGAAAAACTGACTTATTCCTGTTTACATACAAGTTCATGTTAAAACATTGTGTTGAAATTGAATTTTTCTTAAAGTGTCAGGTTGTTCATAATATTATAATATTATAATAAGAAAGAGTTCATCAATTAAAAAGATTTCTGTAATAGATTTGCGTTTTTCTGCACAAATATTTGAACTTATTGTTATTTTTGGGGTTTATATGCCATGAGTTTTCTGATCCGGCCCCTTTGAGATCAAAGTAGGTTGGATACGGCCTCCGGACCAAAATGAGTTTGACACCCCTGATATAGAAGATCTCCCCATCTGAACTCAGGGAGCTCAAAACAGTGACCAGTCTCTTCATCAGTACTACAAAATCAAGTGTTGTGTCTGGTTTGAATTTTCTCTCAGTAAAATTGGAATGGTTGATGTTGCCTCTTTTTGCTACAAGAAGTGTGAAATCACTGAAATTCTGGGTTAAGAAACACATGCACAAAGACATTTTATGTTTTAGACACATTTAGATAGACCTGTTTAATATGAACAGGTATAAAAGTTTCCTGTATTTCTAGTTTAACAAGTTTAATATTTGTATATTTGTGTAAAAGGAGCTGCCACACTACACTGAGAAAAGCACAATGCCCTTGGCCTCAGAGCATCATGGGAAAGAGAATCCGTCTGGTATGCAAAAAACTGTGAGAATAATGTATAGGTCAAGTGAATGTTGTGTTCATGTTCTGGTGTTTTCATCATTTCAGATAAAGAACAGGGGCCAAAATTACTTAAACTGTTTTTTGAAGAAATCTCCAAATTTATAATCCACAAATATTGAACCTCATCTTTATATATTTTGGATTTCACAGACTGAGCTTTTCTAATCTTATTGTTTAAAGTCCTTTCAGAAGTTGCCTTTCATAATCACATTTTTGGGGTACCACTTTCTGAAGCTGTTGTGAGAAAATTATTTCACGTTTGTTTATTTATACCTCAACTTTATAACTTCAGGACATGTAGCCTTATAATGAGCAATGTAAATGCATTATGTATTTCATATTTCTCTGTGTTAAAGACATGTTACTGATTGAGATAGAGACAGGGGCAACTATCTTAATAGCTACGCTAAGTATTATTGGACTAATAATGTTTATTTAGGTCATGAAGTCAAGACACAGAACACAGCACCCTCTCTTAGACCAGATATTGTTTGGATTTGTCGTTCAACTTGTTAAGGATCTGATCTGTATATAGTGTTGTTTCTTCATCACAACACATACCTGGAGTTTCATTCACACACAGAACTTGCATATTTAGGCTGAGTTCTTTTCAAACAACTCTTTATTTTCAAAATATGTGGTGTGTCTGTCATGTGGTAATATAGGAAGTGCTTCACCATGTTTTAAACTCCATACACCTTCACTAGAATCATTTTCCAACTTTTTTTTTTTCCAATTTCCAACCTCCACTAAACAAAGATAAAAGGAGCTTTTAACTAGAAAACTACCACTTGATGAGATCACAAGGTGGAACAGAGCATTTGGAGATGTACACAGACTAATAATGCAAGGTAACTCAAAAATGTGTGAATGAAACAAAACATAACTCCAAGTCTGTTTTTGATTATATTTTGATTATAACTTGGCTAAAAGAGTCAGTTTTGCCTAATATCTATCAAAAGAATAATATGTATTTTATTGATAGATGTTGTCTTAGCTTCTTTTTTGCTTTTGTTGAAATGTTTTATGACCTATTCAGCACTTTAGTCAGCTGCGGTTGTTTCTGCATGTACTATCGAAATAAAGTTTCACTTAATTTGTCTTATTTCAGATTTCAGATAAACTTAGGTGAAACTGAAGAGTATTTTAGGCAACATTACAACTTAAGGAATGTTTGTGTATTATTAAGAAAATATAATAATCAAATAAAATAATCAATTCCAATATGAGTAAACAAATGTATACTTAATAATAACTATTACACAAATTAGGATGTATACTCAGAAGAAAGTACAAAAATAGAGAACAAAAAAATGAAAACCACTGATGTAGAGTACACACTTGGTCTGAGTTCACACATCACATCAAAATTGG